TCTCTCATCTCCAGTCCTAAATTCTTGGTACTTGTGCCTGGTATTCTGGTTATGATCTTCGATTTCTTTGATGAGAATGTTCTCTCGGTCTCGAACCTCCTTACAGATAATGGCAGCTCCTTCGCGTATGTTTCCGATGACATGGTTGCTGTAATCCGAAGCTGTCTTTCCCTCGCTCTTCACCGATTCTACGCGACGTTTTGCTTTTTTCAGCTCCATGTCAACTTTTATTTTAAGAGACTCTGACTGAGCTCGCGATTCTTCTTCATAGTCCTTTATGTTCTGAACATTGTGTTCACCGTGGACTACGGCGTTACATTCTTGACATATCGCCTTCTTGCAAGTAATGCACACAAGCGTGCAAACATGCCTACCATCGTCACCACTGTGATTCCTGCAAGGAATCTTGTTATCCAGAAAAACAGTGCCTTTCCTGATATCATCCACCATGAAAGTAGGGTGCCTGCTTGTCGGCTTTAAATCATTGTGTTTCTCAATGCACATTCTGCACATGAACAAGTCACATATTTCACAGTACTTTTCCGCGGCGTTATTTTGAGTCAAATCACAGTTGGTGCACAACTGGCACAATTTCATAACGGCCTGAATCTTGGATTTACGAGCAACATCTGTATCCAAACGGGAAATGTTACCATTTGAAACGGGAGTGGTTTTTTGACAAACTGGACATTTAACCATGTTTCGTGCGGCATCAGTCGACAGAAGCAATCCCAAACATGCTTCACAGAATGTATGATGGCATTGTAATAACTTGGGGTTATCTTCCAAACGTCTCGAGCAGGTAAGGCACGATATACCCCTCAGTTTGGTGTAATCTCGAAGCGACATGACCTTTAGGTTGGAAGAAGAAAAAAAATGTCAAAAATTGGTTTGAAAACGTAATGATGCTTAGAGGAGATCTAACTGAACATGCTGAATATTTACCTCAATTTCTAAACCTGAAGTCATGAAGTCAATCTTTTTTCCGTATCTTCATTTTCTTAGCAGATGAACTTCATCCTCGGTTGTGAATGAGGAAGGCCTTGAGTCTACAGAAATAATGATATATATAGCCCTGCGCAGTGCCCCGTCACTACTTTCCACGGAGAGTCATGTGATCATTTTCTGATCAAAAATCTCATAATTATTATATCTCAAGGTATATTTTGTTTATTTTTTAAACACACATCCATTCTCTGCCATAATCTCTTACAATCTCATTCCAGTCATGTCTTAATGTTCCCCTCCCAGTTAGTTCTTGCATGGTTACCCCCTTGGTCTGGCACCTTCTACTTTTCATTCCAATAAATCTTTCAAAAGGGTTTGATGTGTTTTAATGATGAATTGATGATTATTAAGAATGATAAGGACACGAAATTTAGGGGGAACGTAGGGTTAGTGGATCTAGAGGAAAATGAATATTGTTCGTATTATTACGGTAGGTTCCCCGTTGTTTTGGCCCTTGAAATATCCAGGCGACATGTTTCTTTCTTAAATAAAAGTGTGACTCATCCATTTACAAAATGAAATACTGTTGCATTAAATCCCGTCTGTACTAGTTGGCCAGGAGGGATTAGACCACCCAGCGTGGTCACTGACAGGTGGCTATTTCATCAACTCAGCTCTCAACTAACATAAGACAAAGAGGATCATGTGGGAATAACGGTCACCGATTAGGCATTGTTTTCTATATCGAGGGAGCAAGTAGCTACTAGTAGTGCAGTGGGGTTTTAAGACTCGCTCTGATCCTAAACTAAGAAAGGAGAGGGATAAGAAGGATTTGTACTTACTGGCGGTGTCATTCTGCGTAATGGCAATGCTGTCAAGTGACGCCGAACTTCAGTCGCGTTAAGGGGAACCTCGTCAGTTTCCGACAATCCAAATTCGGAGATAAAATGACACAAATGATAATGTAAGTCTGGATATATAGAGGTGCTAGAGAAGTGACAAAAAGGTGCGTCAGGTTGAGTGAACTGCATGAATGTTTGTGCTTTTGTCATATGGCAATGATAGGGAAATATTGGGGCGCGTGTTTACTCTAAAGATCGAATAATAATGACAGGGAAAATCCCGCCAGAGGCCCCCATGTATCAAATAGCACAATAATGTATAGGAATGCGCAACAATCAAGTTTTGACAGAGTTTTGACATTGAGTGAAACAATGGCTCAGCAAATAAAGAAGGGGTTTTACCATTTAGGTATTGCGAAAGGAAGGCTCCATGCACTATGAACATGACTGACAATGAAAGCGGACAAAATATACAGTTCCTCAGGTGCAAAAAGGAACATCCCTTCACTGCTATTATTTAAAAATGTGTAGAACAGGTGTCACATGCATATTCACCTTTTTATATAATAGCAGTGAAGGGATGTTCCTTTGTCTACCTGAGGAACTGTATATTTTGTCCGCTTTCTTTGTCCGTCATATTCATAGTGATGGTCGTATGCAAATAATAGGTAATTTTCTTAATATAATCAAATGTAATACATACGTTGTTCTTTGTGAAGTTCCTATTATACAAATTATTTCATTTACCTGATAAGAATAATATTATTTTAATAGTATAATGCACACTGCATATAGTAAGCGTTGCTAGGTAGGACAAGCTATAATGTTTGTCCAACCTGGCAACAACTAATGTATGCAGTTTGGATTCTGTCTATTGGAATACTATTATGCTTATGAGGTGAATGAAAAAGTTTGTATCGAGGCACTTCACAAAGACGTATGCATTACATTTGGTTACATCACGAAAATTGCCTATTGTTTGACACTCCATTAGGAATGCATGTGATGTCATTGGCCTGATCAATGGGAGATCACTTGCGTACCTGATACCGACTGAAATATCACATGGAGGTTTCCATCCGGGTTTAGATATTTCATAAACATTTTAAGTTATGATGAATTTTCCAGCCATATCCCCAAAACAAGAATCGAAATAATTGTATCATATTTTTCCACAATTCTCTTAAAGTTGAACTTCAAAGAAAATCACAAATATGTCAACTAATGTATGACTAGAAACTGGTAAGCTAACAGATGGCCATCGTACAAGTTTTAGGTCAACTACATATCGGGTGATTTATAAAAATACAAATACAACCACCAGCATAGCAGCTGGGATATACGAGAGATTCGCCGGAAAAATAAAGATGTTTTAATGACGTCACTATATGGACCAATACTGCCCAAGCAGACGACATCCCATAGAGAATGAACATAATTGCAAAGCTTTTATTTGTCAAATTATAATGAGTTTAGTGTATATAAATGTGATGGCATGTCAAACCATTCAAAAGGGGATATGACCCGATTCCGATAACTAAAATCTTTTGCTTGTAAATACACAGGATAGGGGTTAATTAACAGTCAAAGAAACCAGACTTTCGAATTGAAAACCCCCGGAACGATGTTGAGGACGGCATTTGTTCCCTCTTGAAACGCCGAACATACCGCGGTGTGTCCAGCTGAATATTCAATGGCGTCTTATTTGTTTACAAGCGACAAATTCCTTTATTTTTGTATCGCTGCATTTGTCATCAAAATAAAACCATGTGCGGGGTTAAGAGTGAGGCAATAGATTATACATTTAGCCTGACGGTAGTGGAGTAAGAGAAAGAACTCAAGAAAAGATGAAAACACAGGCACTGAAAATGTGTGAGATGTCATGGGACATCGTCTGCTTGTGCAAGTCATGTCCATACTGTGATCTCACGCATCTCAGCAGCGTTCGGGGAGCTCTTCAGGTGCTATGACGGGGCTGTATTTAAGCGTTTTATAATTTATAATAATCATTATTTCGAATGTTTCCAAGCATTGAATTTTGATAACCTTGTCGAATCAACGTTTCAACTTTGCAATAATGAAATTAAGTTAGTTTTTAAAATCAATAAACATCAACTTTAACAATCATGTGAGAAGTGGGCCACTTTCATCGCATTTGACATTTCAGTCAGATTCTTTCAAAATTTAGGGAAGACATTTATAAAAACTTATCTTCAAGGTCCAAATCCGAACTAAACAAATTAATGGATGAATTTTGTATTAACGGAAAGCGTATAAACCATAATTATATACTGTTATATATAAAGGTGGAATAATGTTTTTTTACCCCAATTTGACAATGATTTATTCCTAATAGATCTAGATAATAGTATACATTCTCAGATGTTATTGCATAATAATTTTCGGTCGTTTTTATTTTTGCGTGACTACTAAAGCATATGTGTGCTACTATGATTATCGACTAGGGGACCTACGTCCTTAAGTCATAACTGACAGTAAGGAGAATAAACGCCTGACAAAAGGAAACTGATATGGCACATCGACACTGTTTTGATCCTGGGGCCTAACAGTTACTAGGCCATTGCTTTGCCACTGAATCATGACTGTAACGCAGCAGAGGCTAGGGTAGGGGGCAGCTCCCCACAAATAAAACAAAACAAAGAAAATGCAATAATTTATCAATTATATTATTCATTGCATTGTCTCCCGGTACCCGGCAGGAAAAAATCCTCTGTACGGCCAAGCATTATGGTTCAAGGCATGGCCACACAACAAAATCTGATAATGTATACTATTATCTAGCTCTATTAGGAATAAATCATTGTCAAAATCAGTCCATAAATGGGGTCTTTAGCAGGTCTGAGAAAAGTATTTTGTTAAATATTTAAAAATCTATGAAACATATTTAGATGTTTGGATAAAAAATTATGAGTTGTATGCAGCCCTGCACATCAACAGGAATCAACTTATATTTGGATGTCACACCACCTTTAACAAAAGTGGCATCCCGGGTTCGATCCTTGCTCGATGTTTGGACAAGGTGAACTATGTACCCACAACACTATCGACCCAGGGTGCCTGGCACTGCTTCGGCCTCAGTAACCTTTTCATGCAGAGCAAATAGAAGCCCGAAATAATATTCGCTGTTTGCTGCGCGAAGGTGTATAAATCCACAACAAAGAAATCTCACAGACATAATACCACGAACAATGATCACTCGGTAGTTTTCTATAGAAAGAAGAATAAGGAGTAGTATTTGTAGCTAACGGGCACGTGGGAAATTATTGTGTATATTAATATTGCAATCGCGCAGTGCAGTATCATAATACATATCTAATGTATTGTGCACCTATATCTTTGGTGGTGACATATTCCGCGAGTGTAGGCCTTTAGACTAGATGCAAAATGGTGATCAAGGTTTACGTTGATCTTGGCTCCCAACCCTGCCGTGCTCTGGTCGTATTTCTGAAGCATTCCAGTATACCGCATGAGATTGTTGAGCTCGATCTTGGAAAAGGTGAGCAAATTGGAATACTCGTAGGCTTAGAAGACCGTTTATACAGCGTGTTATAATTTGCAAGGTTGAGAGTAACAATACACATGTGCGCCCAAAGACCAGGCACGTAGCCATAGTTTGATGTTTGTTTGTTTGTTTGTTGTTGTTTTTTTTTTGGGGGGGGGCACATACATGTAATCGATTGAGGTAAAAAAAAAATGGAGTCTAAAAAAGTTCAACCGATCTTGGAAATTTTGGTGGGGCATGTGCCCCCCCGTGCCCCCCGTGGCTACGTGCCTGCCAAAGACCGCGTGAAAAGAATAGTTTTTGCTGGTTATAATGTGCCTGACGTGAAAAGCAACTAACATAAAAGGACATGGGGTAGGCCTATATGTTTGTTTAGTTTGTTAAACGCATTCAGGGTGCCCTTTTTAGACTTAAGGTTCAATGGAGGTTAAGGGAAATATTCAAGGGAGGGGGAGGTAAAATTATTTAGAGGGTATCTTTTTTCGAGAACTTAAAGAGCGAAGAAAAAAAATTGACCAGTGGATAAAACCTTTTTAGCATTTTCTTTGTTGATGCGTGTGAACAGCAATATATTCTTACTGCCCCCTCCCATAATTAGACTGGTATTAAGTTCACAGAATGAAATAGCTGTGTCATTGATTGAGAGTGATATAGAGAGGGAGGTCAGCCAGAGGAAGAGAGAGAGAGAGAGAGAGAGAGAGAGAGAGAGAGGGAGAGATAGAGGGGAGAGAATGGAGTACAGGCCTACACAGAAATGGAAAATGCATGACTTTAAAATATGGGCCTTCCTCACGCAGCCTACGTATTTTCCTGAGGGGTATACTTTTTAAGAAAAAATATCAAAAAGTTCTGAACTACCCATCATGATATCATATACCTCTTGCAATTCGAATTTACAGGAGACCAGAAGAAGCCAGAGTTCGCAGCCATCAATCCGTTGAAGCAATTTCCAGCGATCAAAGATGGGGACTTCTGCCTCGCTGAGACGTACGTTGTTAACTCATCATTGCGAACTATAAAAAGTGCATCATGTCGGTCTTACCAAGAAGTTGGTCTTACGCGCCATAAGTCCGAGGCTAACATAACGTTACTATTTCCAAACTTTGAGTGGTCCAATTTTAGTCACCTGAGAAGCATGCTGCCATCAGATGAATTGATTTTCCCGTATAGGACATAGGGGGTCGCCTGAAATAACACCATGTTGGTCGTACGCGCTATTAGCACGAGGCCACTCTCCACCCGGGTTTATATGAGTACCTGGTAACTGCTAGGTAATAATGATTAGAGGACCCACAGGAAGAGCAATTTTACACTGATATAGCTACCCTTACCTGGGTAAATAAACCGGTTTTTTTTATTGCTAGTGCTCCTACTACTTTTTATTATCATTATCATTATTACATCATCTTCATCATCATTATCGTCATCATCATATCAACAATACTTATCATTATTGTAATTATATATTATTATTATAATTCAGAGTGGCTATCTTCCGTTACCTAACGACGCAGTTCCCCAAGTCTTTCTCAGACCACTGGTATCCAGCGGACCCACATCGCCGGGCCAAGGTAGATGAATACCTGTCATTCCACCATCAGGGCATACGAGCACCGGTCGATGCAGTCTTCATGACAGAGGTATATAATATAGTCCGTTAGAATTACGATTCATGCTATCAATTTTGATTCGTTAACAATATACATTATGTGGAGGCGTCGTGGTCTTGTGGATACGCGTCACCGGACTGTGAAGCACATGGTTCGCTCTACGACCGCTGCACTAATGTCTTTTGGCAAGACATTAATTTACTTTCGCCAAGCTTGACCCAGGTGAGGCATAATGGGTACCTGGCAGGAATTTATTCCTTGAAATGCTTGAGCACCATAGTGACAGGCAGCCATGCTAAAGCAGGGGTAAGCATTGTGGAGCGCGACATGAACGATATGCAACCCACTATTATTATTGTTATTATACCAATCATCTTTGCTGTGCCTCTCTATAAAAATGCACTGCAAAAGGATGAACGGCTTCAGAATGAAGATTCAAGCAATTTGATGACTAGCTCCCTCTTCGCCCAATACCATCAACAATAATTTTTTTTTTTTTTTTTTTTACCTCACCATTGTGCATATAATTATAATTATTTTCTGTAAAAGAATCATAAAATCATATTCCTTACATGCATCAACTATTAAGTGGCATGCGACGATGTATACACAAAGGGTTTATTCTGATTGTAAGGAATTGAAGAAGAAAAAAATTCTTTAGTAACAAGACAGCGACAGTATACTAATCAAACACTGCGATAAAAATGTTACCAAAGATTCTATGTGAAAGATATATAACTATTAAGAAAGGGGCAAAGATAGATGTCCTTTATGTTTTCTATTTTCAATAAAGGCACGAGGTTCTATATAGAATTCCAGTGATGCAACTGATTTTTTAGAAATTGCAAGTCTAATATGTTGATTGGTGTGTTATCGGCCAGTTTGGTTTGTTGGAATCGCCCGTTTGTACGAATCTGCAATATTTCCCTTCGTCGTGGAGTAGAATCCACGCTGAAATCATAAAGGTAGTGATAAGATAACTCCTTTTTTTTTTTTTAGAGTGAACTCCATGAGAGTGACAGAATCAAGTGGGCCCTGTTTCCTAAGACTTGTTATAATAATATAATAGTGTCAAGTATGGCCATGGTGATAGACATAATTCTCTTAAAAGAACCCTCTGTTAAAGGGATATCCAACCTTTATAATAATGTAATTTGTATGAAATAGGCCCAATTCGAACCAATATTCAGAAAGTTACGATTGATTTTGTTTTAAGATCACTAAATCTATGCGCATCTTAATTTGGCTTGTATTTAGATTGTATGCACGGACAACTCCCCCGTTTGTAATTTTCTGGTTTTCTCGTAAGTGCCTTCGTCGTGGGGCACTATTTAATATACATTATGAATTTATTTATATAATTACTAGTCCTTTAAAAAATGTAATGACCTTTCTGAGCCATATATTTTGGAAACTTGAAATTTTAGTCCTTTTGTGGGTTGGAACAAATGGGAAAGTTGTCTAACACTACTTCACAGTGATATTAACGATTTAGCCAATTTGTGAATTCCCATTAGTGTTATAAATACATTCCCGATTTCGTTCAAACTTTCATCAGTCTCGTTCATATCATCATCATTTTTGAAAGCAGATTCTATAATAATGACTCCCGCAATAAGTGATTTTGTTGATGATGATAGACTACAAAATGGATTTCCATGCGCTCTTATTTACAGAAAGTTTTACTTTCATTGCAGGTCATGTTGCCTATCATCACCGGAAAACCATTATCTCCAGAGAAGATGAAGGAGGAGGAGAAGGTGATGAGAGAGGCATTGGCAAAGTTCGAGAGGGTCTTCCTCGCTGGTAAACCCTACATCCTTGGAGACGAGATCAGCTTTGCCGACATCATGTTCGTCAGTGAGGTAACATATTCCAGGAATTGTTACACAAAATGAGAGACAAGTGATGAGTATACTTGCAAACTGTGGCGGATCCAGGATTTGCCGATAGGGGGGGGGGGGGGGGGGGGGGGGCTAAATTTTGAAAATCGCGTCGACAATATTTCGCTCAATGGGGGGGGGGGGGGGGGTAGTAAGCATAATTCTTTTTTTTTTTGCTTGTATTTGACCCGGAAAATGTGATAAAAATTCTTACAACAACACAAAATCAACCAAAAAAAAAAGCCAGGGGAAGCCCGGGTCCGTCCCCCCCCCCTCCCCCCCCCCCCCCCCGTGGATTCGCGCCTTGCAAACACAATTTACTGAAAATGTGATTAACCAAATGCATACATTTTGAGAGATTATTGACTGTTTAGTATGATTTCAATTGCACTTCCCGAAACATCATCATTCATTACGTTGGTATCTGATGGTATTGTTTATCATCATATGTATAGTCCTTGTTCAAAGTATAATCAGTTTGTTTCAATATTCATTATTCTATTATGTTCAATCATATACTGTCCAGAGAATACTTTAAACATAAAATGGCCTGTTGTGGTGGATTGTGCAGGCCTGCGGGGGAATTTTGAGTGTGGAAGAGACAGAGGAATTGTTACTCAATCCTTCTCTAATTCTTAAGGCCAGGGGCGGATCTAGCTTTTTGCTAAGGGGGGGTTTGACCAAAATAATGACGATGCGGAGCATCGTCCACGAGCCGCGAAGCGGCGAGCCGATTTTTTTTGGGGTGTTTATTTGAACCCCGTAAGTGATGTTTTCCTGGAATCTATTAACACAATGGAGACCATAAAAAGCAGTGCATGATAACGTCTTTTTAAATCAAGTAACAGTTTAATACACAGTTATATCCAGAGTTATCATGTGTTTGGTTAAGTTACCAGATGAGTTGAATATCTTCTCAAAATATTTGCACTTGAAAGGGTTTCTCTCCAGCGTGCGTTCTTTTTTCTTCCTTTTTTTTTCCCTTTTTTTTTTTTTTTTTTTGGGGGGGGGCCGCCCAAGGGGGGGGGTTTAAACCCCCTAACCCCCCCCCCCCCGTAGATCCGCGCCTGAAGGCTTCCAATTTCCCCACCATTAAAAAGCGTTAAAACAATTTTGGGGGACAGTTTCATAATATTTGTTGATAAATTCCACATCTGAAGACAACTCGACCGCATTTTGTAGACCCACAGTATTTTACGTCCCTTAATCCAAATTATTTCAAACGGACGAAAAACACGAGGAGTTCGATGTCACTGTGGATTTGTTTTTTAAATGAGTGATATAGTATACTACTGCATGAATCGTCTAATTACTGCATACAAAATTAAAGGGAAATCAAACCTTTATAATATGTTAATTTGCATGAACGCAGAAATATAAGACAAACAAAATGATGAAAATATGAAATAAACCGGAACAATAATCATAGAGTTATGAATATTTGAAATATGAGATCGCTAAATCTATACGAATCCCAAACTGGCAATTTGGTCTATTGTTTGTGACAACTCTTCGGTTTGTCATGTACATTTGTTATTTCTTGTTTTTTCAGTCCTAGGTGCCATCTCTATTGGAGCACTACTCAAATTATATTGTTGAAAGCATAATTATCATGGGTCCTCAGGAAAAATCTACCCTCATGAGTCATACAGTTAGAAAAATTGAAATTATAGTCATTTTGTGTGACGAAACAAATGGGAAACTTGTCCGGCACTATGTGACGTTAGGGATTCAGCCAATTTGAAGTGTCCATAGGTACAGTGATTGCAACTTTAATTTTTTTCTATAACTCTCTCATTTGTTTGTCTTTAATCTAATTCCCAATCCCACACTTTATTTCCCTCTTTAAGTTTTCTGCTTCCTTTTAGAGCGATTAAGGTGGGATTTTCCGTTAATTTCTTCATCTTTTTTTTATATTCCAGATGATACAGAATACTGTGAGTGGTCGTCACGTGACTGAAGGAAACGAGAACCTGAAAGCTTACGTGGATCGAGTCAAAGACAATCTCAATCCTATCTTCGATCAGGTTTTCGATGTAATCTACAAATGGAGGGAAGATTATCTCAGCAAGAAGAAGTGATTCGATCTGAAATGGAAAGATAATTATTCGCAGAGCAGGGTCGCGTAACAAAAAGCTTTCCAATCTTTTACACAATGACAATGGTTAACTTAAGATCATCGTTACATACACATGCTGTTTAAAAGGCTGACGATTACTCAAATCAGAATCGTCGTTTTGAATTTACACATGATCGCAAAGCTTTGCGTGACGGGACCCATGGCCCTTCTTCATAAAACGTATCAACACTTTAAGATGAAACACTTGACATCAACTACTAAAACAATTGAATTTCATTGGTTCTGAGCAGATTTGTCATCGAATTTTTGCACTTGTTATTGATAACCAATTTGTATGAACTATGATACAGTGCTCAGTCATTGCTTACTCTGAACATTAACGTTACTTTCAAGAAGTGAAATTTAAAGAATTTAAATCATGCCCTAGTATTATTAATCCCCCTCCCCAGGATAGGAATATTTGTCTTATGGGTAGTTGTCCGGATACGACAAGTATAATTATTGCCGTTTTAGACCTTAAATTGTGAACAGTCTTGACGGTACTGTAACTTAAAGATGATAATAATTTCAGAATTGCTCTCAGAAGAAACGTATTATTATACGCAACAAATGCTTTTTCAGGGGGGATTGTGGGAGATATTGTAAAATGATGTGAATATACAATTACTGTATCCTTGTGCCAAATTCTTCAACCTGTAATAAACAAACTCAGGTAAAACAACATACATTGACGTTTGACGACATAATTACGTTTTGACGTTTGTCCGATTGCTTGTAAACGGTTTGATTATTTTGATGACTGTAAACATGATTGCAAATTTTACAAAGACTGTCTAGAAACGAGTAATGTAAGTTGATAATGCTGATGAATGATGGCAGCAGTGAGGCCAACGAACCGTTTACTGTGAGTCGACGACCATAATCATGGTACACTGGTCATGATGATCAGTGGCGTTTCTAGCATAAGCTAGGGATTGTGCAGCCCGGAGCAAACCAGAGGCATCTATACACATAAATTGGTTATAGCGTTCATTTGCTCAGAACATGGGCCTGGCGCATGTTCATTTGTTTTCTACTATGGTATGGTATGTAATCTCGTAGGATTTTTGTGCCAAAGTTATTTTTTGCTGTTTTGGTTTCAAAAGGGTCCCAATTGGCCCAAAATGATGGGGTTTAAATTTTCAGACCCCTCCTTCATTTCTTGGGGGGGTCCCTATTGGGCGCCAAAATGGCTTATATAACGCGCAATAGGGAAATTTGGTGTCTTCGGGAAAATTTGAACCCCCATCAATTTCTGATAGCTTGGACCCCAATGAATAAAAAAATGCAAAAAAAAATTTAAAAAAATAAATCAACTTTGGCACAAAAATCCTACGGGAGCTGTTTCAGTGACATGCCGTACCACACTATACTCGCCCAACAAAACATTATTGTGCCCAACTCGAACTGGGTTGGCCTAATTCTTATCAATGTGGCACTAGGGCAAAGAACAAAGTGCGCCCTCTCCCCCTACATTATACCTTGTCAGGGAAAAAATACCAAACCAGAACACATTGATGACGGTGGTGATGGTTAATGATGATAATACTGCTTCAGCTCATGATGATAATAGTGATTAACATGATGTTGCTGTTGATGATAATGATGGTGATAATGATGCTGATGACAATGATGCTGATGACACTGTAATTGCTGCTTCTGATGATAATGATAATAACGATGATTGTGATGATCATGATGATGATGAGGAGGATGATGATGATGATGATGATGCTGCTGCTGCTGATGATAATAATAATGATGATGGTGATGATGATAAAAAAAGATATGAGGAAGAATAAGAAGCAGAAGAAGAAGAAGAAGAATAAAAAGAAGAAGAAGAAGAGGAAGAAGAAGAAGAAGAAGAAGAAGAAGAAGAAGAAGAAGAAGAAGAAGAAGAAAAGAAGGAGAAGAAGAAACAGAAAGAGGAGGATAATAATAAGAAGAAGAACAACAGCAACTACTACTACTACAAGAAGAGGAGCAAGAAGAAGAGGAATGAAGAAAAGAAGAAAGAGAGAAGAGGAAGAAGAAAGAGCAGAGTAAGAAAAAGAAAAAGAAAAAGAAGAAGAAGAAGAAGAAGAAGAGGAAGAAGAAAGTTAAACCATACTCAAATACATTTCACTCCATTTTTTCAATTGCTGGATACGCCTCGGATACATGCGACAACTTATAGGTGGAGCCTACTCTAATTCTATATTCCTATGATGACGTTTATATTCATTATATTCCTATAATGAATTTAGAGTCATCATATTCCCATACTAATGTTTAGAATGATTGTATGCATATAATGACGTGTGGGCTCATTATATTCCTGTAATGATGCTTAGGTCATTAGTTTGCAAATGGTTTTTGTTAATTAATCATGCATCTTAGGCCTGTATTTTAAACCCCTCAGAAAACTAACAACATAACAATTTATGTTTTGTTATCCTGCTAAAGGAGGAGTAGCATTTATTCTCTCTCAATACTGTTTTCTTTTCACTTTCTTTTCTTTCTCTCTCTCTCTCTCTCTCTGCCAGTCTTTCTTCTTTCTTCTTTGTTGTTTTTGTTTACCTTTCTTTCTACCTTTCTTTACATCTTCCTTCCTTTTTTCATTCATTTTTGGGGGTACTCTTGATAACCGTCTTGATAACGGTTGAACCTAATGGATCCTTATTTTAGTTCAGTTAGGGAGAAGGGAAGAAACAGGGCTACCGGTATATCATAAATGTTGACCTATGTCCAATGACGTCCACATTTTACAAGGTTATTATGGCAAGGTTTTTCGAGAGCAAACAAAAACAAAATCCGGTCATCCAGATAACTATGGATCTTAGCCCCGCCTATTTATGTTCCGGCTAAAACAAAGTCAGCAAATTGTGGGTGTTGTCCCAGACCATACAAATGTATTCACGAATAAACCTAGCTGAATTTTGTTTTGCTTACTATTTAGAAAACTTTATTTATATTATATAGTTTATAATTTATAATTTATCATTCAATTTCCTTTTTAAACACAGTATTATTTCTAAATGAATATAGTAAAATTCCCCCTTAATAATGGTACTGTCCATCTATTGCATATTCATGAGTAAAGTTACTTTGCCCGGAAACCCGGAAGTGCGGGTACACAAATCATAAGACAACAATAACAAGACTAAGCTATCATTGCGGAACCTCGCTTCCTAAAATCCGTTGCCTAGCTTGCAGATGTGCATTTGAGACGTAGCATAGCCACCTGCACCATCACCTTCCGTACTGTACCACTGCAAAACAAGTGGAAGGGGAATTATACCCAGGGGTGAACCGAAGTAATTTTGGCCGATTTTAGGTGCCAAAATGGCGAGGAGAGAGGAGTGTGTACCAAGGTGGTTGTGGCATGCTTTTGATGCACTTGATAATGACAAGAATGGATCTGCTCCAAAGACAGAATTGAAGGTATGTACATGGTCATTAGTATTACTGTAACTTCCAGCATGACTAGGGCCAGGGCCAAGGAGCTGGAAGATAGTTGGCTGTACGTGTGAATACCCGCCAAGTCTGACTGCTGTACTAAACAAGTAATGTGAGGCCGTTTTCATTAGTCTATTCTGAATAGTAGCTGTGAGTTTTGTGCAGGACTATTGTGATATTTTTTACTCATACTATTCATTTCATTCTCTTTTGTCCTGCTTTATTGTTCAATCAGCATCAATACCGTTGCAGCCCATTGGGCAGGTTGGGATTGGGGCATTATTAGGGCTGCACAATTCTAACATGGCTGAGTGATAATAATAATTAAGCAAACTATATTAAAAGAGAAAAAGAAGCATAATTGGGTTTGTGTGTGTGTGTGTGTGTGGGGGGGGGGGAGGGGTGGCACAAGAGTAATTGGTGCAGTGTAAAGCTAATGGAGGGGGGGGGGGGGTGGTCTTTTATCTGCAGTCTACAAAATGCAATTAAAGTACAAGGCTATCAAGGGAAATAATGTGATGAGGCCAAGGGGACACTTTTTTCGGGGGGGGGGGGGGTCTCCAATTTGAAAATTTGACATTTTACTCCGTTGGGGGGGGGGTGGGGGTAAGGTCAACTTTTTTAGGTCAGCCATTGGCATAATTTTTTTATAAAAAAAAACAAACATATTGGGGGGGGGGGGGATGGGGGGCCTACGCGCCTGGGCAGATAACTCTCCCATTTTTTGTGTACAAAAATTGCATTAATTTCTGTTTTTCTTATAAGCGTCCGGCCTCCCCCGTGTTCCCAGCACCCCCCCCCCCCTTCCCCTCCTTTTCAGCATAAGTCTGGTGTGTAAAGTCAATAGAATATGGGTAGACCTTTTTCTTCTGTTACGAGCCAGAGATTTTGGGGGCATGCATGAGGTCCCTCCATTCCCGGAGTGGGGGGGGGGGAGGGGTAAGCACCGTCTCCCTTGGGCTTGGGGCACTACTTAGAATAATTATGGGTAGTATATATTATTATAGGTCCCTTCAAGAGAGAAGACCCTCCTGATCTGAGTCACACATGAACATTTAGTCATTTTGTGTGTTGGAACAAATGGGAAAGTTGTCCGCTACTACATCACAGAGACATTACCTTTTCAGCCAATTTGAAGAGCCCATACCTACCATATAGTGATTGCAACTTTCTCATTATTTGTCTAATTTCATTAAAACTTTCACCAGTCGACTTAAATTTGTTTTTCTGTTTTCAACTAGATTAGTTTGCTATCAAGGTTATATTTCCAATTTAAATGTACTTGTACATAAAGGTGCCCTTCTCGTTCTCAGCTCGAATATACATGTAGATTCCATTGGATTAACATAGCATAAAGATCACATTACTCTTTTGTTATTGTAAGATTGCTTTTAAAAGATTACTTGCAATGTGAAACATCTTGACACATCATGTTTTCAAAGCAATGTTTCTCTTGTTACTATTGAGTGTGTGCCCAATTGTCAGGGAAGCATGCATGCATAATACAGTACAGTGTGATCGTCAATAATGTCTTGGTTAGGATATCCTGCATGTCTTTCTCACAAGGAAGATCTGAAGTTCTCTTGGCCATTTTGCGGTTGTCTGAATATCATTGACGTATTTGATTATGATGTTAATAATAAATGATATTAGGGGTGGTTGTTGTTCTTATGTTATCACTTTGTTGCTTATTTTTCTTCCATTGTCCTCCTTTTTTGCCACATGGGAGTCAGGGCCAGGGGGCAGATGCCCATTGACCTCGTGACTGTGCCCCTCCCATATTCAATTGAAGTTAAGATGAAATAGGTTTAGTATAGGCATGTCTTCACTATCTCAAGATAATCTCAAGCTAATTTGCGTCTTCATCAGACCGAAGTAGCAATTAAAAGGATATTTAGTCAGGATTCAGATTGTCATCCCAAGATATCTTGGGATAGTTTGCAAAATATCCCACTATTTGGCAAAATATCCAGCTATTAGACCGAAGATTCGCAACACGTGCTAACGCTGAGCAAAATATCTCGAGGTAATTTCTCAAGGTCGAGTTTCAAGTTTCGAGGTCGAATCTCGAGCTAATGAAGACGCGATATGTATCTTCAGGATTATTTCCCAAATCAGAAATAGCTGGCTATTTGGCAATCTTGAGCTGATGAAGGCGCGCCTATTGAGGTACTGGCAGAATGGTATCAAATTTACATGAAAATGTAATTGGTTAACACCCTTCTGACTCCCAGCAGGTGGTTTGCCAGCTTATATTCTCTATTCAGGAAATTGTATTACATTTCATGAGCAGTGGTTATTCAGGGTCTGGTTTGTGTTCTGCATGTGTATGAACATTGTTTTTGGCCAGTAAATCAAGTCAACTAAATCAAGTCATACCCTTACCAAGTTTTGTACATTTTTATGTCCGTTAAAAATTAATTTGTCTCAATTTTTGTTTCTTTAGAGTGCTTATGCTGTACATCTAAACGTATTAAGCACATGCCTTTTATTAAACCAGTCCACCTTTCATTCTTGGGTTAAGATTAAACATGAACGATGAAATGTTAACTATGTCTGATGGACTCAATAACTGTTGTATTGCCAGTTATATGCTGTTGTGTTTGTATTCATGAATAGTGGATACCACTGTATTTTGCTCTACTCGATTTTGCTCTACTTGATGTCATAACTTGGATTGCTCTTAGGATAACATCATGCAAGCTACACGCTCAGGAAGTCTACAGCTATGCATTGCATTATTGCATTGGCTCCACCCCAGGTTTCCATTCTAGGAAGTAACTAAGGGCGCGTTCATGCTTGATTTTGACGGCCAGAATCAGGCATCTGTTACGCGTTTAGTTTAAAACACGGTTGCGTCTTAGCTCACTTTTGTAGAATCACCGAAAAACGGCGATCACGATCGCCGATCGTAAACTCACAAAAAGATGCGTTTACAATTTGTAAACGCGTTTAAATGGGGTCAACGCACTGACCTCTAGTGGGTCTACGTAGCATGCACAGTGAAGGTTTGCGAATCCAGCTGGAAGACCAATTAAGGCCACACACTGAGAATTGCCTGGGGGAGCCAGAGAAGCAAGCATGAACACTACATCGTGGAACTGCGATCACGATGAGCGTTTACGATGAGCGTTTCAGATCGCTCATTCTGCCTTCAAAATTTAAGCATGAACGCAGCCTAAGTGGACGCATGCCATCCTAGCTTAATGTCTTTGATAACGCCTGTAGTGTTGAGTGCCATATAGATGATCGATTGTACATCACATTTTTCATGGCACTTGACAGATAGTACATGTATGCCTAGATGAAACAAGATCATCCTTAGTTTCCCTTTTTTTTAAAAACAATTCTTAACATTTGTGTTTGATATTTAAGTAGTCTACAGATCCTTTAGCCTCCACTAGTCGCCCTCTCCCTCACTCTCTCCCTCACTCTCTCCCTCACTCTCTCCCTCACTCTCTCCCTCTGCCTCTCCCATTCACTTACTCTTTTTTTTCTCTCTCATCTCTCTCAAACTCCTCTCCTCACTTCTCATCATGCCTCTTATTTTTTCATTTTTCTTTCCATCTTTCTTTTCTTTTCCCTCAACTTTGCTCTCTCTTTCTGTTTCTGTTTAGAGCTGTCTCCTTCAAAAAATAGTTTTTTGTTAAATATTGATAGAAAAATTTAATTTCAATTGTCATGAGAGAAGAGAAACTTCTAAATATATCTACATGATGTAGCATAGGAGCATATATATTCTAACATAAAGCAAGAAATCGCCAATCAGTTCAAGTACATACGGTACATTCAGGAAGTTAAACACACCATACAGGTCACCTTCTTCATATCTTGTATCAATGGAAATAACATATATTTTTGTTTAGTCAGGAGTCATTGTTAAGTGTAGTAAATGATGTTCTTGTCTGGTTTTAAGTAAGAATACAACTAAGAAACTGGGACTCTTGGCTTAAGAGTTTCTAGGAAGTTAAAGTGGGAAGGTTTCATCACTTTCATGTGTCTGACCATTCCTAATTTATGAGAAGGGTTGCATGTTTGTTACATCAGGAAAGAATCTAGGCCTTCATTGATTAATTGGCTAAATCATTAAACAAATGAGGCATTGACTCATTACCACCCACATAAATCTATAAATGGTTATGTTGAAAGATGTTTATTGTGTACTAATGTAGGAAATAAACTACTTTGTAATTAGGTACAGGCCATTTGCAGACAGTAGCTCATTTTATACAAAGCAGATCATTTAGACATACATATATATTGGTGCCACATATTCTCTGTCATTTGTAGATTCCTGATAATATGCATGACTCTGGTGGTGGATCCAGCTCTTTAGATTATGAGTGGGTTGGGGGCACCTGGGGAGGGGGCCAAGCATATTTCATCATAAAAAGTGCTGACATGCTTGGGGGGGGGGGGGGGGAGGAAAATAAGACTGAAGGGGGGGGGGGGGGGGCAATGGGGTTAACTTTTCAGACACTGCCTTAAAAAGTAGTGTCACTGTTGACTTATCTCGTTTATACAATGATACTCATAAATTTGCTGTTGGTGGTTGTGTATTGTTACTGGAATATATAACAAAGCTCAATGAATTTCCAAAGAAAGGTAAAAGACCTTTAAGATAGGACAGTACAACATATGACATTTATTCATTTGATCACAGAAGGGTAATTAGGCCTAATGTTGCCTAAATTGACATTCAGATATAATTTATACATTAACAAAGACCTTCTAATGAGCAAATATCATCAACTATTAAGGGTGTTTTCGTACCATAACATTTCACTATATAGCCACCTAAATGATAGTGATACGAGAAAGCACCATCATTCAATAGTCCTGCACGCCAAGGAATGGTTCATTTTTTGACAAAATACCCGGAAAAAAGACGAGTCGTTAAGGACATATTGCATGGGCTGAATAGAGCCATGAATGGTCTTTGTGTATCAGTGTAGAGAATCTTTCTTTACCTTGATATTGTGGTCTGAACACGACCTACTTCAGCGAATTGGTTTAATAATCTGACCTCTATTGTGAGTCATGTTTGTTTACCATTGAGCTGTTGTGTAGACTTTTTCTTGTTTCTTGTTTACTAAACTGACATAATAGTTTGAACATCCTACAACTTGCAAAGAAAGAAAGAATGGCCATGACTGTAGTGAGGTCACGGGCTGTATCTACATGTGTAAAGAGCTTATTTTGTATTTGTGTGAAGAAAAATAGCCTAGTGGCCCATGTACATGTATATCATTTGACAGATAGCATAGCAAAATTAAGTAGCTTTAAGGCACTTTAATGAGTAAAAAACTTAGGCTCTCCACTCTCTCTCCAGCTTTATATATGAAACTGTATTTTCCTTGATCCTTGCGGATCACAACAGGAATCAGGAATTTTGTTAATAATAAGATGCATCCTTGTAGCCTACAAATAATTTATCTGTAAGGTTTTTTTGAAGTTTTCCTTTTCAGGGCTACCAGCTTTGGGACTTTGGTCTCACTCAGTTATGATTCAAAACACAAAGCAAATCAAACAATTTTTCTTCTTCTTTTGTTAAAAAACAAAACTTCAACGTTCCTTTCTAAGTACTTTTTTTTATTTTTATTTATTTTTTATTTTTTTATAGATTACGCTTTCTTATTATGTGTTAGTATATGTTTTTTTTTTTTTTTTTTTTTTTGGGGGGGGGGGGCGGGGAGCCTCTAATATAGGAAATAGTCAGAATATAACAAATTTGGATATATTTATAAAAAGAAATCTGTTGGCAATATACAGAATTACATTAATCGTGTTCAGGCTTATATGCTCTTTAGAATGAAGGAATATTTCCTTTTTGTTGGATAATTACAAAGCAACCAATCATCCATGCAGGGTAGTTTTTCTCAGACTTCACTATTTCATCATTTGTCTGCTTATACACTCAAAACACATTAAGGTAATGTTGTTTGTGTACATGTATTTATTACCTGTCATACGCTGTAAGCATCTACAGATTGGTCTATTGTTGTAGTGAAAATGTGAAACTTAATCAAGAGCCCTTTTTATGATAAATTGCCTTTGAAAGTCATTTTGAAGGCAGGAAATCCTAATGCAAGGAGAGAGTAATTCTTTGAACTCTGTCACAGAAACAATTAAAGATCCTCTTACAGGAAGTTGTGCTATATATCTGTGGTTGCAGGTATCCTTGTTGTACGTCACCAGCACTAGCCAAATCTCCAGGATACTTACTAAATTCACTTCAAGCTTGGTCCTCACCCCAGTACCTAACCTAAAACATGATAGAATCAGATAGCTGACTTTATATTTATTCTGTAAGCGTCAATTTCCTGAACTATTGTACGGGAGCTCAGCTCAGGTGTCTGTCCGGCACCTGCTTAACAACACTTGATACCACTTTGTATGTGCTTATTTTTCTTTGTGAAGTTGTTTTCTTTCTATAACCCTGTCTTGAGAGCTCATACCTGTAACTCATTAGGTCTGAAGCTGCAAACAGCAGTGTCATTGTACAGTACTATTACCTTCATGTAATGGAAATGTTTTGTTTGTGTTCATGTGTTTGTCTGGTTGTTTGTTTATTAATATCCTTTTTGACCTTGTGTCTTTTCTATGACTCCCAGGTTCTGACAGCGCATATACAATAAGCAATATTAACTCACAACATGCTGAAAACAGCTATGGTAGTATACCATTGCAAAGTACCTAATGGAAATATTTGGGTTTGTGTGTTTGTATTAATTCATTTGTTCATCTCTTCTTTGAAATTGTACTGGCAAACCTTTCTATCAGCCTTTTCACACACGAGTAAAATTCTTTAAAGCTGATTAGTTTAAAGTGCTTTAAACTAATGAACTTTACATACGACATCATTCACACACAGAAATTTCGGTGCGACCATTAATCGTTTCTTGATTAACTATACTTCTCTTAAAATGCACAGTATAGTGCCATTGCGCATTGAAGGCCAGGTCATATCAAACAAAGCGCACGCTCCATCCAGTTTAAACACGTATAACTGTTCACACACAAAATGTCAAGCTCTCTAGATACGGACTTCGTATCTACAGCCTGCTTTGAACGGCGTATAAATCGCGACTTTGTATCTATCCGAACATCGTATAAACAACGTTCACACAGGGAAAATTTTCTTTAAAGCTGTTTAAAACTGTTGAGTTAAACGGCTTTAAACTAATCAGCTCTAGATACGATGAATTTTAGCTGTGTGTGAAAAGGCTGTATAACCCTCGGCTCATGACAGCTTATATAGGAAACTCTTCACCATTGAAAGGTGCCTTATGGAAAAGTTTGGATTACATGATGTTTTTTTCTTTGTTGATTGACTCCTTTTTGGCCTTGTGCCTTTCCTTTATGCCTCAGGTCCTGACAGCTCACATAGGGAACTCACTAGGAGCTGAAAACAGCAATGCCATCGCAAAGCAACTCATGGAGACGTTCCAGGACTCTCCCGCCATCAGCTTCGACGACTACCGCCACTTCTTGAGGAACAAGGAGTTCCTGGTCCTGGAGGACATGGACCTGGTCAAGTTGGAGGAGGTGTCTTGGATGATCTGTGGGAGTCGCTATGAGAAGAGGACCAAGAAGGTCCTGGACCACACAGAGATCTATAAGATGTGGAGGATCTTTAACTTCTTTGCTGAACCAGGAGTGTTCCCAGCTATTCTAGATCCACAGGTAATCTCTTAGATCAAAGTTTAGAGGCCTGTCCAATCTAAGAGGTGCACTTTCATTTGAATAAATCGAACAGTGATCGAAAGAGAAAGGCAATTGTAAATTTGCGATTGATTGCAGGACTTGAGACTGACTTGGTATTAATTGGATGCAGTCACAATTCTTTTTAAGACATGAACTTTGAAGAGGGGGACTTGGAGTCTTTTGCATTAATATTCCTTAAATTCATCTGTCACAAAGAATACAATTGCAGAGAGGGAGTCTGATCACGTCTAGCCCCTAGTCTCCCTCTACAAATATACAAATGTATTTTACTACTTAAATTTAAAAAGACAAGTCATTCGAGCATGTCATACAAATTCACAAGAACAAATATGCTTTCTTATTTTTTACTTATTAGATAGGATACCACACACAGCACGTAGAGGCTTTTTGAGATTATTAATAAACATGAGAGCTCTCTGTATTGGATTATAAATTACCAATTGAGAACTTCTGTAATCACAAGGAACTATAGTTTCGCAATAAAGCAACACAAGTTTCAATTCATCTTGCAGGAAGCAAACATCATGTTCGAGAAACTTGTAGTTGCCATGGGAACGAAGTGGAACTTGGAGGAGTTTCAGTCTAAGGTTGCGGTGCTTCAAGATCTCAGGTTCACAAGCTGTCTGCAGTTCTTTGAGCAGCATTACACAGGCCGAGTCGACAGTATGTGCGTGAAGGAAGGCATCTCTGAGGTGTATAACAACATGATAGAGGAGGTGGAAAAAATGGTGAGACTGCAAGGTTGAAGATAATAACTTTAAATTTACTATGCTGTACTAGAAACGGTATTATAAAACATAATTATTACCACAGTCATTGGCATCCACTATTAGTATGCACATTACAGTTCACATTAAATTCCCACTCCTCAGTGCAGCATTTAGGCCAGTTGCCTGAATATCTAATTTCTAAAACCCAATGAACACTTTAACCCTTACTGTACTGGGGGGGGGGCCTGGGAGGCCCCCCCCTCGACATTTTCGGAGATTGCGCCGCAACCGCTTGGAATTTTGAATTGTCGTTTCATGACTTTGTTCCCTCAAGTCTTACGCACATTTTGATACCATTTTCGTCGAAATCGGATACACCTGTAAGGCATTACATAACAATTAGTATGCGCATGTCATCAAAAAAAAAAAAAAATGAAAATCGCATCAAAATTTGCATAAATTATCATTATTAATTACATTAAAACAACTTTTTTGTGTTAGAAAAGAAGTTTCATATGAATAATGAGTTTCAACATTCAAAAAGTGGAGTTTGACACGTTTTTCGGTAAAATGCATAAAATTAGCGCATTTTGCATAATTAATTAGGCTAACGACAAAAATTTGCATATTCGGAAAAAACTAATTATACCATCTTGTTCCTTACGTAAATATCTACAAACATGCAAATTTTCGTGTTCATCGGACAATCGACGGCCGAGATCATAGGGGGGGGCCTCCCAGGCCCCCCCCCAGTCAGTGGATGCTCAAAATAGCCCAGTACAGTAAGGGTTAATAGACCCTTCATTCCCCTCTCCTTTGTAAAAATTATCATATGAAAAATGAAATGAATAAAAAATTAAATATAATCAGGTTCTTTAATTGTTTGTTGATAGACAGTGTTCCATGAGTTGGTATGCATATACAAAATGTATGCCCTGTTTGAAAATTGTCAAATTGTGGGGGTCAGGACTTAGATTTTTGGCACATGGGTGTCCCAAGCGCCTGTTAGTGTTTATCATTAGCTGTGATAAATGTAGATGGCAGCATACATATACTCATCGTGATATTTGGGTCACCTTGTTTTTGTTATACTTTAAAGTGGCATAGTAGCATATTGAGGATATGAAATAATGCAGAGTGGTGGTCTTGATTAACATTACCTTTGCTCCTCTTTGTCCTTGTATGCCCATGACATGTTCATGCAGTGGAGTTCAGTAAATAGCTTTGTGCCTTGAGTATGATTCCTGTATCAAAATCGGATTGAGATAACTAATAGCAGTCAAGAGTTATGATTTGTCTGTTTCTACATGTATTTAGACGATCGATACAGCGAGTGTATTTCACAACCTGTTGCCATGATAATGTGCATTCATGTGCACTTTGTTTAAAAGCATTCACAATGGCAAAGGGATCTATACAAAGTTAGAGAAAAGGGGACAAAAGATTTGTTGTTTGCTGGAATTTTTATAATCATTTTGAGCAGCCTAAAAATAGCTTTTGATCTGGTCTTTGTCACTTTTCTTTTTCAGAACTTTCAACCTTTAGACCTTTTGCGTAATCAAAGAAGGTTCATGTTTTATGTTATTGACTTGAAATTAGAAATGAACCTTGAGCATACTTGTTCACTGTAAGCAAGATTACATTGGTTTATCTTTTTAATTGCTGTAAATGCCTGTTCCTTGACTGTATGTTGATTTTGAGCTATAGAAGTAGTATGGTGTGTGATAAAAAGAAGTTTTATGAGCACATGAAAGGTCACTGTTTTTCGGTTGATCAAGATGACAGTGAGTTTCATTTGTTTAGTATTTATTTATATAAGACAATGAGGAAGTATTTTCTGGATTAAATTTTCCCTGTGTCATGTATTTGATAAATCCTCTGATTCAAGACAGGATTTCGAAAACAATTATTGGCTGTCCCCTTTCTCAACTCTGAGCTTTCCACCAGTCCCATCATTTGATCTTCCATCTCTCTGTCTCTGTCTCTCTCTGCCTCTGTCTCTGTCTCTGTCTCTCCATCTCTCTCTCTTTCTCTGTCTGTCTGTCTTTCTCCCTTTCTATATATCTCTTTCTCTCTCTGTCTCTCTCTGTCTCTGTGTGTGTCTCTCTCTGTCTCTCTCTCTGTTTGTATCTCTGTGTGTGTGTCTCTCTCTGTCTCTCTTTCTCTCTCTTTCTCTCTCTTGCTCTCTCTCTATCTCTCTCTCTTGCTTTCTACCTACCCCTTTATGTCAAGAACTCATCTTGACACCTAAAACTGATCCCTTTACTCTTTTCCTCTCATTTTTTTTCTTGTCCTACTCTATATTACATATCTCAAAAGTCATCGCATTGTTATCTCTTTGATTGCAAAGGGTACATTTTACATATTATATACATGTACATGACTAAATCTATTGAAAACTAAAAGTTCAACTTGAGACTGAGGTACATTAATTTGGTGAACCCATTACATGTACCAAACGCACCTCGTGACAACATTCTAAGTTGATTTTAGTGTATCGCACAGAATCGTTTTGTCAAAATGCTGTTTTTGACTTCACATATGCCTTTGTCTTATCGTTTAGAAAAATATATATGTGCTATTTCCATGTAAATCAATGGTAGACAGTAGTTGTAATAACAAAAATATTCCCAACGAATCAACAAAACATGCACTGAATGTTAAAGACAGATTGAAATGGTATAGATCTGTCCACATTGCATAAAACTTTCCATTGATGGTAACTTTTATGCAACAGGGCCCTACAAAACAATATTTAACAGTTATAAAGTACATTCAGGTGATCAACTGTAAAGTAAATTATATATGTGTAGTATGAGATCTCATGAATTTAATTGTTTGTGCTTTTAACTGAGATAGGTCTCCAGCTATAGCTTTAGTTTATTTATACTCAAATCATTTACTTCACAGTAAGTTGTATAATTTATTATAGGAAAATATCAAGCTCATGATACACAGACATTTTTTTTTTTACAGAACATAAGTATGATAACAAAATTGATAAGGTTAATTAGTAAAAATTGATTCATTGATTTGAATACCGGTAACAACTGATATAGAATTAATGTTTGCCAGTTTCCATCAAAATCAGTGCAATTCTATTAACCAAGCTCAATTTCAGTCACATCGATAGAATTAACGTTTCATTCTTGTTAAATCTTTGTTCTTTTTTGACAGGGTCATCTGAAGAAGAAAGGACACAAAGTGACCAACTGGAAGGACCGATGGTTTGTCCTCAAGCCAGGCAGCATGGCTTACTTTGTGGAGAAGACTCTCAAGGAGCAGAAAGGTGAAATTCCTATAACGACCAAGTGGAGAGTCGAAGTAAGATATATTTTTTGTTTAATCTGATACTTTTTCCAGTATTGTTTGTACTTCATTTTTTGTTTATGAGTTGTAACAAAGTAGTATGATGGTGATGGCAGTCTGGCCAGGCTTGGTTCGGGAAACCTTCCATTATTTATTTCTGGTCCCAAGTATTTGATTAATTTGTTCATACTGTGTTTGTCTGTGTCCAAGCCACACACATTCTGTGTAATTAATTGCTATCAAAACAAATATGAAGGATTGGAAATAATACAACAGAAAACACAACTGAGAGTTCACCCAGGGAAAATGGCATTTTGTATTGTGCTCTAAATATAATTGATTTTCGATAGTGGCCCTTGTAAAATTCCTTGTAATCAAGAGATATTTTGAGTGTATGTTCATTTTGTATGTGTTACAAGCTTATTGTGTTAAGTTCATGAAAAGCAAAACATGATATCTGGTTACCATGTATTTAAAGATCATGATTGACTATGCCTTGATGGACGAATTTAATAAATTTTTATTTTCTGTGTTACATGTATATTAATTGTTGTTTACTTCAAGAAAAACTCACTCAGAAAAGTCCCTGTTTTCCCCCCGTTTTGTTCCAAATTCACAAGTAGTTTAAGCTTCTACCAACCTTCTAGTTGTACGCCCCCATTCACCCAACCCCCCCCCCCCCCCAAAAAAAAAAAAAAAAAAAAAATCCCCCCCCCCCCCCAAAAAAAAAAAAAATAAAAAAAAAAAATAAAATAAAAATAATAATAATAATAATAATAATAATAATAGAAAAAATTAAACAAATGAATAAAAAATACATTAATAGAAATTAAAAAATAAATAACTAGATGAATAAATAAATAAATAAAAATAGAATAAAATAAAATAAATATGTGGCTCTGATTTATTCTTGGTTTAGAGCGTTGTAGTCACAATTGATATTCCTTGATGTGATAGGTTCATGAGTGCAAATTGTCTTAATGGGGAAAACCCCTTTGCTGTATAGATTAAAGGTTATGTAAATGTTTGCATTCCTAATCACATACAAGTCTTGAACATTGTTATTGCTGTACATAACTAAGCATGAGTGTAAAGTGATTATGATTGATTGAAATTCCATTGTGAAACTTCCCATTCAGCCTTAAAGATGTGATACTGATTTGATTTCGAGAGAAATGATATTTTGAAATGACTCTTAACACATTAATGTGATGCACAGGCAGTAAATGAGAAATCGATACAACCAATTTGATATAGTGCCCACTTCAAACCTATTTTTAATTACAAATATATATATGTACTGAAATACTGCTTATGCTGCCAGAAGAAATGTTTATCATCCTAATTTTGGAGTATGCTTCCTCTTTACAGAAGATGCCTATATTGTTGGATGGACTCAGTATCGATATAGAATGATGTAGATCTGCATATTTTAGTTTAAGTGTGGATAAGTCTCTGAATATTATCTAATTTTGTATTGTTTGTGAATATATGTTTATAGGCAGTAAAATGGGGCCAATAATCCAATATAAAGACTTTTTTTGTGATGAATTCATAAGATACATGTATTCATTACATATCAACCCTTAGAAACGCTATGAACTGTGCAAAATTGTTTGTTTTTTATTCATATTATAGGTTCTTCCAGATTAGAAGGGCAATACTAATATTTTTGGCGTATTCACAAGATATGTCTCAGGTACACACTAAGCAATGCTATGAGCTATGTGACACTAAGAACTTTACTGTATTCAGAAGATATGTCTCAGGTCAACACTTTGAAACGCTATGAGTTGCGTGACAACGTTTCTTATATTCTATTCTAGGTACTTCCAGATCAAAAGGGCAATAAAAACTTACTTGTGGTGTATTCAGAAGACACGTCTCAGGTCAATACTAAGAAACGCTATGAACTGAGCGCATCAGACCCGAGGAACAGACAAGAATGGGTCACTGGTAAGTTTTCACTTTTTAAATTGCAGATCTTGTTTTTGTTCATAGCAACTACAATGGAAAGCTTGAATTTTTAGTGTAGAATAAATTGGAGAGTTCCCCCAATAACCAATGTGCTTTTGATATTTGGTATATTCTCATAGATTCAGTGATCTCACTTGTCAAACATTTACAACTTTCTTTTTGTTTGTTGAATTTTGGTCAGACTTTTACCAAGTGACCTGTTCAGTGAATTATCTGCTTTACAAATTTAAATTGATATGAAGATTGAATTGCCCTTAAATCCCTGGCAGTATCCCAGATTCTCTATAAAAATATATCAAATTTCACATTGATTTGTTTGCCACACTGGTGGATCAATATCATAGTAATTGTTTGAGATTTATAGTAATAGTTTGTGTATTTGTAGCATCAGCATTAGGAATTGGAATTACAGCTGGCAGTGCAACTAAGTTAGAGTGTGCTTACAGGGCTTGTCTAATGAAGTAACATATTCCTCCTTGTTTCAGTTTCATTGTTACACTGTGTATTCTATAAAGCCAGTAATGCAGTTAACAACTAAATTATTTCCCTTGTAAATTGTTTTTGTTGTTTTGTTTTAGTTTTGCAACTCAAGAATGACAGGTGGTCTTTTTTTTTTGATAAATACTTTTAGATGTACTGTAAGCTTTGATATGTCATATTCTCAACAAATGTTAGTCGGGACACATCAATTTTTTACATACTTAACAAATTACTAAACTTGGAGAGGGTATGACAGATTTAGTTCTTAGATGTGTATGCCGCCTACATATTAATATTAATTTTATTCTATATGATAAGTTAAACAGCTGCAGTTTTCTACTTACATGTACATTGTTATAATATTTTCAAAAGCTCTATGTGAAGTCCAAGTTTCAGTGACACCTGAAATGAAGCAAACATGCAGAGGCAGATTATGATATTGGCAGAAACAAAAAGTGGGTGTGGGGGGGGGGGGGGATGTGTAAAAAGTCCAAAATCCCTGGCAAACATATAGCAAAAAACTTTGAACTTCTTATTATGAGAAGGGGAGAAATCAGACGATTTTGATTCCCCATGCATATTTCCTGTTATAGGAAGTGTAGAGAGAATATTCATTTTGTTTTATAGCAACCAGTCCAAAGTCCAGAAGGTGTCTGTGGGAGATGAGGGGGAGGTTGGTATTAAACAGAACCATAAGATAGAGAGACAAACTGAAAATGTAATAAACATGAAGATATTATGGGGTAAACATATATGAAGAGGTTAATTCCAAAAGGCGCTAAATCCACTTTTGGTGTTTTCAAGTAAATCAAGGTTTTCTGTTAGACCACTTTTGTTTTAACAAAACCGCCCAAATTTTCACAAAGTTTAAAGATCTACCATTAAAATCTTGCTTAAAGAAATCCTGCCATAGTAATTATTTTAAAGTATTTTTTTACTCTTTCAATTTGTTCGGATTTAGCGCCTTTAGAAATTAAACAAGGATTTAGCGCCTTTTGGAATAAAAAATTTTGATGTGTCATTCCGCATTTCAAATTTTTTTGTTTTTTGTTTTAAGAAAGATGTTTATTCAGCTGTATAAATTAGCTTTATAGCGAAATGTAGTGCCACAAAAAGACGCATTCAGAACACCAACTGCATTGTTGAAAAATCATAATTTTATGACATAGAGGTAGACCCATATCATTAGGATATGGAGCAGGTAAATGCATAATACATATACCATATACACAAATATACCATCTTGATGTGGCTTAATGTTAACTAAACTTTTATTCAGATATATGTACAAACAAAACTTTTGATCAACAAATAACACCAACTATTATGCATTTCGCACTTTGGATGGTCTTTTCGTGCTGCTACATTTCACTGTTAATTATAGCTAACTAAGTATGCAGCTTTTAAATTATTTGTGCTTGCTTGATAGATTGCTGTTGGCAAGAAACTCTCAGTGTTTATATTCCGCTTCTAATGGTACTACTAATTGACTTCTCAGTTAAACCTAGCAACAGTAGCATACAAATTACAAGTGATTAATAATTATCAACCATTAATAGTCCATCAAAACCCATTCACCGGAGCAGACAGAAGGAGATAAATTCTATTGTTTCTTCATGGTTCAGTGATATGCTATTATTCAAAATTGGCGTATCTTAGCACGTACCTGTACACTGTGCTATCATGGTTGTTATTTCTTTAATATTAATGTGTTCAAAAAAAAAGAAAAGAAGAAAAACATGAATTTTGTTGGTATCTTTAACCCTTACTGTACTGGGCTATTTTTAGCACCTCGTGACTGGGGGGGGGGGGGGGGGGGAGGGGGGGGGGGGAGGGGGGGGGGAGGGGCCTGGGAGGCTCCCCTATGATCTCGGCCGTCAAAAGTCTGATGTACATGAAAATCTGCATGTTTGTAGATATTTACGTAAGGGACAAGATGGTATAATTAGTTTTTTCCTAATATGCAAATTTGTGTCGTTATAGCCTAATTAATTATGCGAAATGCTAATTTTATGCATTTTACAGAAAACACTACATATTTGTCTGTAGACTTGTGAAGAATGTTGAAAATGTATTGAATAAATGTTTCCTTCATCTCAAATTCATGAGGTTACATTATTTTTATGATATTTGAAAATGCATAGGTTAATTTGCATAAATTATAGCATATTTTTGATAACATGCACACACTAGTTGTTATGTAACACCTTACAGGTATATCTGATTTTGACGAAAATGGTATCAAAATGTGCGTAAGACTTGAGGGAAAAAAGTCATGAAATTACAATTCAAAATTCCAAGTGGTTGCGGCGCAATCTCCGAAAATGAGTGATAATTTTTCAACAGATTATTTATTTAATTATAATATATATTTCTATATTTTGATATTGTATTTATTGATTTAGTTCTTTGCTATTGAACTACTGTACATGTAATTCACAATGTTTTTTCTTCCATTTGTGCAGCCATAGAGAATGTACTGAAGCGGATGGAATGTGGGGAATCCCCTCATGTTCAGGAACTGGAGAGGAGGAGGGATGAGAGGAGAAGGAAACGGGAAGAAGCCGAGGAGATAGACAGGTTACGACAACTTCAGGTGGAGGAGAATGAGAGGCAGAGACAGAGACTTGCTGAGATGGAGAGGGTAACTATATTTCTTGCTTTGTACATGCCGGTTTGTCTCGTCTTTACAACTTGTGTCTCTCATTACAACTTCTCTATTAAGGTAGCTTGGCAAAGTAATGAAAAGAAACCTGGAATGCAGAATTAACCCATTGCTTACGGGAACCTGGCGGTCCCTGTGTTAAGCCTATGGGGAATAAGATAATTCAGTAGTCAACAGGTTAAGGCATAATAGTTGGTGACATCTGGGAATGAAAGTAATATAATTTCATATGTCTCAATTACACTTTTGGTGATATCAAGCCTTATAAAGGTAGGAGAGATAATTACCTGCTCTGTGTCCTAATGACATACTTCTACCTTAATGGCATAGAGATATGATTACGCTTTTTGTGTTACAGACACATCTTTTAGTGCCACTTTATTTTGCGAAAATACCTGAATGTGTAAATGTATTGATCCTCTCCCTCTTTGTCGGTCTCTCTCTCTTTCTGTCTCTCTATCTCTCTGTGTGTCTCTCTCTCCATATTTTGGTCTGTCCTTATCTCTCACTATTTTGTATCTCTAATTTAACCACCATATTCAGTATTTTTTAGATGTTTTGAGAAGATTCTCTTTTGCGCAGAACTGTATGGCACATTTCTTGTCTTTCTTCAAGAAATTGTCACCGGTACATATCTTTTTTTCCTAAATATTCAGTATTTTCAACAAATAAAAAAACGTCTGCTACATTCACTCTCTGCTGGTAATGTGCAGCCCACACCAGGAAATGGGTTGAACAGAAATGCCGTTTCACAGGGAAAAAACCCATTTATTTATTTAAAAGGATTGGTGTTATGATATGCAGAGGCCAGAAAAGCATGTTTTCATGCTTCAAAACGTAGCCAATATCTGATATAATGTCATCACTATTTTTCGGACAACAGTTGAGAGACGAAGCAGCCAGTAAAGCTGAAGAGGAGTGCGCCTTGAGGATGGCAAAGGAGAGAGAGGAAGAGGAGAATAGGAGGAGAGAGATGGAGGAAAGAGCAAAGACACAGGCAGAGATTGATGCACTTAAAGCTGTAAGTTCAATTACCAAGATTTCTTCTTCAAAAAGGCAACTACTAAAGCCAAAATCTGTTTAGATAAAACCCAAGGTTGTGCATATTCATTGCAGGGCAGTATCCTACACACAAGTGCTCATTGACTCTTTATTCTTTTTTGAATCATCAGTAATTCAAAAATCCTAGACTGTTTTGAGTATATTTTACACGATGTGTGTCAAAGTTTGACTTTGTTGATCCACTGTATGTTTCATTACTCGAGCGAAGCAGATGAAGAGTTAATTCAGGAAGAAAAAACGATACATGTATGTCATCCAGCCACATAGAACTAAACCACCTATGACTTCATTTTTTCCTGCTAGTTGTGTAAACTGTCACAGAATGATACCCATTTGTATAAGAACATTCTGCATTTTCCCCTACAGATAATGCAGGGTGAGCCTATATGAAATCTATATATTGGAAATTATTGATTTCTAGGCTAGTTCTGTATTTGTGAATTCTATATACAGGCTATGAAGTAATCCTTAGTTTCGCAAATTGACCAAAACGTATGATGGTACGTAATTAGTTCACAAAACCAGCGACAATTTAATCAATAGATCCCAGTTAAAAGTTTAGTTTGATGTCTTTTCCCTTCCCCCTGTTTGCTATCCTCTAGGCTCGTGATGAGGCCGCAAGGAAAGCAGAAGAGGAGCTCGCTATGAGGATGGAGAGAGAACTGGAAGAGGCCAAGAATAGGGTCAGGGAGATGGAGGATAGAGCAAGAACACAGGAAGAAATTGATCAACTTACAATAGTGAGTTAGGAATTTAATTGCTGCTAAATAGTAGACTTGAATATGTTACATGATGGGCATATTATTACTGATAGTTAGGTTAGAGATGCACCGAATTGGGCATACATCTGCCATATATGCTATAGATAACTCTGTTTAAACACAGTGAGGGCATTAACTTTGTTTTTACTCAGAGTTGACTCTCTTCTGCCTCTAAACAGTTTATATATTGAAGGGGGGAAACAAGTTTAAATGTAAAGGGATCATCTGTATAATAGAGGTAATTGAAAATGGGTGGGGGGGGGGGGGGGTCACATTATACTAAACTGTTTGATTTTGTGAGTCCACCTACCTACCTGAAGCTAGAGGCATTACATGATATCCTGCACATTTCTAAGTGTACACATATACTCTTGTGATTTCACGGAATAATAAATGAGCTGAATTGATTGATTCAAATTTTACAAGGCAAGGGATGAAGCAGCGCGGAAGGCGGAAGAGGAGTTGGCTCTAAGGATGGCGAAAGAAGAAGAAGAAAGGGAGAACAGGAGACGGGAGGAAGAGCATAGAGAGAAGACCCAGCAGGAGATCGATGCTCTTAGAGCGGTGAGTTCACAAGCCAATTTTTTACGAACAGTATGTGTAGAAGGCTGAAAGTAATATAAAGAGGCTTTATAAGTTGCTCTCATATTAAGATATGTGCTAACTTTATGGTGCCTAAATGGTCTTTCTTGCCTTTCTGGATGGTCTCTTGTTTGTTGCATGTTGAAATTTGTCAAAACAATAGGTACCAATAAACCAAAGGATCGCTTTGTGTAACACGATGGCATTGCAAAATCACCCATTTCCAGTCGTGATTATCTAAATTACAACCAATTTAGTGCTGGTATAGATTGAATTTTGCACTGGAAAGAATTACAAAATCTTGAAGCCTTTGGTATATACCAGTATCTATTATATGATAAACACAATGTGGCATATTTGTTTCTTATTTTTTTCTACTTGATTGTAACTTGAACGAGGGAACAAAATAGAAATTGTACTATCTAGTAGCTATATGAAATATTTTTTTTAGAATAATGTGCATTAAAGGGAGGAAATGCCTAAAGAAAGGGGGATAACACCTATTTTCTACATTTCATATCATTGTTTAAACAGATAATGAGATTATTACCCGATTTATATAATATGATAATGATAATTTGTATTACAAAGGGAAGGCCCATCAGCATCAATGCTGTTCTTTCTGAGGGCCCTGCAATTAATCTTACCACAGCAATTGCCAGGTTCCCAATTACAACTGACTGGCAAATGTGGGTTTAATAATGTCATGCCAAAAGACGTTAGGAAAGGATGGATTAGGAAAGTATATTCTTTGATATTTGTATGGTTTACCTGCAGGCTCGTGAAGAAGCAGAGAGGAGAGCAGAAGGAGGGGCAAGGAAGCTGATAGAGAGACAGAGAGAAGAAGAGGAGAGGAGGAAATTGGAGGAGGAAGAGAGAGAAAGACAAGCCAGAGAATTAGAGGAACTGAAGAAGGTAGGAATGAGAATGATATCACATAGATTGATGTATCTTGTTTCAATGTGAAATTTCTGACTTTATTCTTGTATCTGTTGGTAAACAACCATTATATCGAGGGTTTAGGAACACAAAGACGTAACTCAATATTTTGCCAAAATGAGTATTTGATACCAAAATGTTCAGAAAAATGTGGGCTTTCCAGGAAACACAAAGACTTATCTCCACCAACACCCCATTGAAGTCAATGGCTAGTGAAACATAGACTTAATTTCTTAAGGCCCAAGTGATCAGGGACATATAAACCATTTTTTCTAAAAATGGCCAAAATGGAGTTAAGTCTTTGTGTCACTGACCCCTTGATATGCTATTTAGAATCTGACATTAACCTTCATGCTGCCTCCAAGGTGATGAACATATCACAGAGATGAAAACATTACACCAGTGCTTAGTTATCGTAACTTTCCTTATGGCTTGTTCGTTCCATGATATCAAAGTTTACAACTCAACTTGTTTTTAATTTCAAGAAGAAAGATAAGCCTCTCCTAGTAAAAATATTAGGATCAATATACATTTTTAGCTTTCATGGGGATTATCACTGTATATTGCAGTCACTTTTTATTCTATGTATATACATATATCACTTCTTTATTATTGTCTGTGTAATATAGCACTGATACCACCCTAATATGAACATGTAGGTTGATAATAATAATACTACTCAGTTTTTGTATAGCGCTTATTAGAATCACTAAGCGCTTCCAAACTTGGAGATTATTACCCCAACTTGAGCTGTGCTGCCATTGCGGCGCTCTAGCATTTCAAAGAATTAATTCCTGCCAGGTACCCATTTACATCACCTGGGTTGAGTGTGGCAAATGTAGATCAATGTCTTGCCAAAGAACATTAAAGCAGCTATCCCATTGACATATTTTGCCATGCTGCCTCAGTACTTATTACTTTCCCCTGTCATTGTTACAGGCTTACGAGGATGCAACAAAGAGAGCTGAGATTGAGGAACGGTTGAAAGAGGAAGACAGGAAGAGGCTAGCAGAGCTGGAGGAATCACTACAGCACCTAGAACTGGCCCTTGAGGAGGAGAGGCAAGCCAAAAAGGATGAAGAGATTGTGCGTGCTCTGCAGTCCAGGTAGGATGAGGTTGTAATGAAGATGATGATGATGGTCAGGATGAGGATTGTGATTATGAAGATGATGATGATGTTGAGGATGATGACGATGAGAACGATGAGAAGGATGATGGTGATGATGACATGATGTTGACGATGAGGACGATGAGGAAGATGATTGTGATGATAATGATGATGATGATGATGGTGATTGTGATAATGAGGATTGTGATTATGATGATGATGATGATGATGATGATGATTGTGATGATGATGATGATGATGATGATTGTGATGATGATGGTGATGATTGTGATGATGATGATGATGATGAGGATTGTGATTATGATGATGATGATGATGATGATGATGATTGTGATGATGATGGTGATGATTGTGATGATGATGATGATGATTGTGATTAGGATGATGATGATGATGATGAGGATTGTGATTATGATGATGATGATGAGGATTGTGATTATGATGATGATGATGATGATGATGATGATTGTGATGATGAGGATTGTGATTATGATGATGATGATGATGATGATGATTGTGATGATGAGGATTGTGATTATGATGATGATGATGATGATGATGATTGTGATGATGATGGTGATGATTGTGATGATGATGATGATGATTGTGATTATGGTGATGATTATGATGATGATGATAATGATGATGATTGTGATGATGATGGTGATGATTGTGATGATGATGATGATGATGATGATTGTGATGATTGTGATGATGATGATGATGATGATGATGATGATTGTGATGATGATGATGATGATGGTGGTGATGATGACGATGAGAACGATGAGGAAGATGTCGGTGATGATGATGATAACGATGATGATGATGATAATGATTTTGACAATGACGACGATGATGATGATGATGATGAGGATTGTGATTATGATGATGATGATGATGATGATGATTGTGATGATGATGGTGATGATTGTGATGATGATGATGATGATTGTGATTATGATGATGATGATGATGATGAGGATTGTGATTATGATGATGATGATGAGGATTGTGATTATGATGATGATGATGATGATGATGATTGTGATGATGAGGATTGTGATTATGATGATGATGATGATGATGATGATTGTGATGATGAGGATTGTGATTATGATGATGATGATGATGATGATGATTGTGATGATGATGGTGATGATTGTGATGATGATGATGATGATTGTGATTATGATGATGATTATGATGATGATGATGATGATGATGATTGTGATGATGATGGTGATGATTGTGATGATGATGATGATGATGATGATTGTGATGATGAGGATTGTGATTATGATGATGATGATGGTGGTGATGATGACGATGAGAACGATGAGGAAGATGTCGGTGATGATGATGATAACGATGATGATGATGATAATGATTTTGACAATGACGACGATGATGATGATGATGATTTTGATGGGGATAATGATGATGATGATGAAGATAATATTTTTAAATATTTTTTTTGCCTTTTGCTTATAAACTATTTCTCGATGTATTCACTTCCAAAGAGCTTTGGATCATTACTCATTTACTCTGCCTTTAGCCAATTGCCTTGACCAGGTGCTGAATCACTTCAAGCATTTATTTCCTATTTGATCTACCCATCCTAGCCAATTTATATTGATTGCATTGATGGCCGTTATGATAATGATATTTTTAATTATGATAGTTCAACGTTTTTGCACATTGTTGAAGGGGGTTCCGCATTTGAATCACTACACTTTTATTGCTCACTCTTGTATTTTTCTTCTCCAGAATCCTTTGCGAGGAGACTGAAAAGAGGGAGCAGCTCGAGAAACTAAAGGAGGAGCAGGACGCCCTCCTGAGGCAGGAGCAGGAGAAGAGGGAGCACCTTGAGCAGCGTAGCGAGGAGCTCGTTCAGCAGAGGCTGGAGCAGGCCAGGCAGCTGGAGGTGGAGAGGGAGAGACTCAGGGAGCTGGAGGAGGAGCGCAAGGCTGCTGATGAGAAACTCAAGGTGAGATAAGGGGCTATGTATTTAGAGAAAAAATGGATTAGGGAATCAAGTTATGAAGAGGGGCTGCTGAGGAGGGCAAAGACTGATCAGGAAGGATGGAGGAAGAGTAATAGATTAAGATACAGTGTAGATGTATAGTGAGAGAGGGAGAGAGAGAGAGAGAGGGAGAGAGAGAGAGAGAGAGAGAGAGGAATGAGGGGCAAGAAGGGGGTTGAGGCAAGGGTGGAAGAGTCAGATGGGAGGGAGGGAGGGTGGGAGGGAGGGCGGGAGGGAGGGAGGGCGGGAGGGAGGGAGGGCGGGAGGGAGGGGAGGGACTCTGGAAGCCTTTGGTTTAGCACATAGACTCCATCTGAACTCCATTTGACATCTCAAGATATATCAAGTTGCCATCTTATTGCTAATCTTTCTTCAGCTCTCTTTATTATTGTACTTTATTGAGTGTCTAGACAGTTTATCTGCCCTTTTCTTATTTTCATTAAAAATACTTGTCATTGGTTGTTTATATTTGAAGGGAAAACCTAAGAGAGACAGGGTAAACGGAAGAGGTACAGAATTTAAAGTGAGGAAAGGAGATTACAGACAAATGCTTTGAAAAAGAAAATTTTGAAAGTGAAGAAGAATACTACAGACAAACATTTTATCCAGTATTGTTGTTTATTCCCTCAAAAATTAGGCTGCCATGGAAAAGCTAACCCATGCCGAGGAAGCTAAGAAACTGCAGGAGAGAAAGAGGCGAGAGCTGGAGAAACCAGTGGGCCTGGCTCGGCTGATTCAGCCCCGAGCCAACCCTCTTCTTACCCACCGTGGTGTTGGAGCTTTCACCGCGGCTCAGTTTGAGATAGAGAAAGAAAAGAGACAGCTCACCAAAGCGGTAAGTACATGCAAGTCATTTATGGAGCCATGAAACACAATCCATTTGTTTCAAACATCAAGATATCACCAAAACTTCCACTGAAATGCAATAATTTGCTTAGAAAGTGAAGATTGTTAGCAATATTTGCCCTCCCCCTTATGATAGCATTTGAAATTTACTCAGAAAAAATCCTTACGTGACCCAGATTAATTTCCACCCTTTCATAATCAATATAAATGTGTTACATGTTCAATTATAAATCTCAGTTTTTTTCCATAATATTTTTGAGCCCTTCGGATACTAAGAGATTTTCCAATGATGTCTAAATAACAATATTCTGGGTTTATAAAGCACTTTATAACTGATGGTGTCTCTAAAGCTTTACAGATGTATTATGTGAATACTTTTTTAGCATAATTTTGGGGCCCTCATGGAGCCAAAATCATTATGTGATTATTGTTTTACAGAGAAATATTCTGTTTTTAAATTTTGCAAGCAGGACGAGGCAAGTACTATGGTGCCAAATGGAGAAGGATCATTGGGTAACCATCACGGCTCAGAGGTCAACGGGGTCATCGAAAATGGAGTAGAAGGTGAAAGGTGAAAGGTCATTTTAATTGCTTTATGTACATATAAGTTGAAGAAATGGGCAGTGTTGATGAAACCGTTAGAACGACAAATTCACCAATATCCAATTGAAGTGATTGTTAACTACAATAGAGGCGGTTTTGTGAAACACTGCCCTGTTTAACATTCAGGTGTCAATACAATTATTGCCAAAGTATTGATATTGTTTCTACTAACATTAATATCATTTGAATTTAGTATAAAAAGCATTTTCTATGAACTCCAGTCCAAATTATCTTGGGGTTAGTATTCAATGAATTCTATAAAAAAAAGCTGAAGCTTCTGGTTGAATTTTTAGAAAGATCCATGAATTTTGGAAATGTAAACCATATGATATAGTGCTGATGTTAAGAAGTTAATGAAACACAAATCAAATTTAGAAACTTGCCAACTCGTCAAATAACATCATAAATATGATAAACTTGATAACACATTCTTTATAAAAAATTTGCTGTGCTTTATAGGTGTATCCAATTGAATGACACATAAAAGTTCTAACATAAAATAAACGTCTATTTTTCACTTAACAATAGTCTGTATATTTATATTAAATGCCTTCAATAATGCAATTGGATGAACTATTCAAATTATGTTCAAATGCCTGCTTAAAATGCATAGTGAATGAATGTTTATGTCCAAACATACAATCTTGCACAGAATAACCCAAAGTTTATACACCAATGAATATGCACTATCTGATTTTGTACTTCTACTCAACATAATACATTTAATATATTTTTTTTTATTGTAAAAAGTGAAGTAAAAAAAAAAAAATTCATATCATGTGTATAATCCTGATTTTTGATATTTATACTATAATATGTAAATCATTCATCATTGAAAGTATATTATTTGCGTGATTGTTTCACAAATGAATTTTTACTGCAACTAATTGACTCTTCCAGTATATATATTTAGCAAACACTGAATTGCTCCAAAGTGGAGGAAACAGCCTTCTTGTATTCGTGTGCGCACTCATCCTATAAAGGCATATTTTCTCCTATTGTCAGTATACAAGTGCTCACAATTGTACAGCCATGATATGCCTTTACTGCCCATTATGTGGGCTTTCAAGTTTGTCAGTTTGGTCACTTATTAATGGAGGTAATTTTTCTTTAATTTTATTTGCTGTTTTATTACTTCACTTTGGGCAGTACAGTTATAGTTTGACTAAACATTTGCTGTGTCTGAACTTTGTTCATAATTTGACTGTAAGAGAGCTTGAAGGTTGCTTTTTTATCAAATGATTTTATCAAATGATTGTACCAATTAATCTGGGCATTTTATAAATAAATGTAATGTCTATAAACAGGAGAAAACTTGACTGATGATAGACATTGCCACTCAGAAATGTTGTTGATAAAAAACAAATTACACATTTTTTATTTGTGTGTTTGTTTGCTTGTATATTGTGGGTGTGTTTTGTGTTGTATCCCTACATTCTTTTCTTCAACTGTCTTATATTTCTCAACATGGAACACTGTAAAGATACTGTACAAATCTGCATTTTCTATATAAAAAAAATATCATCGACTGTTACCCCTAGTGACTTTGTAGATATTCAAAATGCTCAGATAACACTCATTTGAATGTAAATCGAACATTATGTGAAAAATTCTATTTGGAGCAATGTATAATAGAACATGGCTTATTTGTTTGTCACATATATCTGACATTCGCATCGTACAAGTTCAACTTTAACCCGATTCGATGCCACGCCCTAGTTCTTGATTTTTGTATGGTTTCACTGAAAATGTTAAAGATAAAAGTGAGTTCTGGTCATCCGATTGCATTGTGAAAGAAAAGGTGTAGAATTGATCAGGAAAAAGTTGATCATGTAGCATGTAAGTGTTGGTGTGTGCTGCAAAGTTCTGGAGACATCAAAATCATAATAAATTTGGCCGAGTCTTGGTAAAGTAACAAACACTGTACACAGAAAGATGTATATGGGACTACACAAATGGTGTCGGGCTACTAACCTTGATTTCCTAATCTTTCTATGTTCATTACTCAGCCAGTATACATTTTCTACCAAAATTGTCTGGCAAATGACATTTGTTTGTAATCTTGAACATTCAGTGTAAGTTTCATTTGATTCTGTGAGAATTCATATTTTTTTATTTTTTTTACCAGAACTCACCTTTATCTTTAATCGTATATATATATATATATATTTTGCATGTGGAAGGTGTGCCATACCTGAAGAGGTATTATTTGATATTTGTGGATGTTAATTGAGAAAGAAAGTATTTGTTTCAAGTCAAAAGATGAAATATTTATATTGCTGGATGTGAAAGTGTGTTGCTACTTACTAATACTGTAAACAAAATGTTGTATTACTCATAGGAGCTTCAGCAAAATTCCATGCGATTGGAATGCTGGCTGCATTTGAGGTTGTTGTTATATGATAGGATTACGTTCTTTTTTATTCTTATATGTCTGAAATAAATTTTCAAAACTGTTAATACTCGTTTATGAAAAGAGGGAATAACATTCCAGGTACAATGTATGTAGTACTATAAATTCATCAATGGTATCCATGATTTAAAGTGTTTGTTTATAACTGAACCAGACTAGAAATAACAGTATTAATGTATTAGATGCTATTCAATACCATCATTCTATTTTTTTGTCTTCGATTTAGTCAAGAAAATGAAATGTGATTATTTCATGAGCTGTGAACGAATATTGCCTTGAGATTGTGTTGAGTTCAGTTGAGTTCAGTTTTATTAAAAGATACCAGACATAGCAATCATGACGAACAAACATGATCCGAATTGTTATTAAATACAGAATGGTACATTTGACAGTTTTATGTCTAGGAATATATATGTAGTGGAAATGAATCCTATTGATAAAAAAACCCTCATAATTATAGAGTTTCATGAGTTTTCATACATTATGCTTGATCACATTGATAATTCAGATTACTTTTTTTTGTATAGACTCTTTACTCTTCCAGGTGTCCCTTCCAGGTGTCCTAGACATCAAACTGGATATGTTATCAGTACATCGTCATAGTGTTAGTATGGTAATTAGAGAAACAAAATATCATGATATTACAAGGTCTAAAATCATATACAGTCTAATTCACTCTCTCTCTCTCTCTCTCTCTCTCTCTCCCTCTCTCTCTATATATATTTATATATGTAGTATATCATTGTCAGAATTGAAGGTTTTGAGGGGTTTTTTCTATGTCCTTTGGAATAGCATCTGTTTTTTTATACATATATTAATTAACAGAAGAACAAGATATTACCTGGGAAAACACAACAAAATAAAACCAGAGTCTAATTCCTTTTTAAGAGTTTACCCTTGCAAAATATGAAGACAATATTGAACATTTTATATTCTCTGCCCAAAGCGCCCATTTAATTGCTGCTATGTAGCGATAGCCACAAGGAATATAAAATGTGTTCGATTGGTATCACTTAATTCCTCTGGATTTCTTCGTATCGATATGGATATCTGTATACTTTGGTCAGCACCGTGATAGACAATAGGCTGATCATTGTAACTTATTTCACCCATCAAATTAATGATATGTGTTTATTGTTAAAAGAATGATTTGATTCATTGTTGATGGCCCGTACCTATCGGGAAAGAAATTTCCCTGTCTACTCTTAATTATTTGAGAATTTGCCATTATATTAAAGGCTATCAAAAGATTCGATTTTTTACTCGCTGTATATATTATGTTAGTTATATATAAACCATTACTGCAGTAATGTGTTGATGTTCAGTGATCACAATTTGTACGTACATGAGTATATCTGCTTGAATGTTACATTTAATTGTATTTAATGTGAAAAATATATAGTACTTGAAAATTATGAATTACATGACATAGAACTAGGTTCCTCCTTGCAAGTTCAGGAAAGATTTATTTTGAATAATGTATTATCAAATCAGTAGCCTTCATTTAATTGTAATGTTCCAACTTATTCACGTTATGAAACAAAAGTATTTACTGCTATGCCAGCATTTTTATATTATTATTCTACTTGTTTTGAATATCATTCCCAGAATTCTCTTTGATATGAAATATTGAATATCTACAAATAAAATATGATCTGTTTAAAAAGAAAGGATGGAGTGTTCATTAACTTTTTTTGTTTATATGTGTGTAAGAAAAATGCAAATGTGCTTTTGATTATCGTTAGTCTGTAAATAATTTAATAATAATAATAATAATGTAACTTATATCGCGCCAAATCCACTCTGTGGAGTGCTCAAGGCGCGTGTAAACAGGAAAAAAGATCAAGACTTGAAAAGAAATGTTTTGAGATGAGTTTTGAAAGAATCAGAGGATAAACATTTTTTGATGTCTTCAGGAAGGCCATTCCATAATTTAGGACTAGAGTATGCAAAAGATCTTTCCCCCCACGTTTTGGTAATTTTGGGGGTTACAAGAAAATTGGAAGTGGATGAGCGTAGAGGTCTTGCAGGAGTGTAGTTTTGGATTAGAGAGATAAGGTATTGAGGAGCAGAGCCGTGAACGCAATGAAAGGTGAGCAACAAAATTTTGAAAACAATGCGATCTTTTACTGGGAGCCAGTGTAGCGACTGCAAAACTGGGGAAATGTGGGTACGCTTGGTGGTCAGAGAAACAATACGAGCTGCAGCGTTTTGAAGCTTCTGAAGCTTGGACACTAGATTCTGGGTAGATTGATTAGGAGGGCATTGGCAAGCAAAATCAAGACGGGAGGAAATCAGAGCATGAACTAATTTTTCGGTGGCAGACTTGGACAAATATTTACGAATAAAACCGATATTACGCAAGTGGTACCTTACAGATCTACAAATATTAAGAACTTGGTTAGACATTGTCATATGTGAGTCGAACATAACACCGAGATTGCGACACGTTTGTGACAAGTGAATCATGTGGCCAGAAAATGAAATGCAATTGATATTAACTTTACTAAGCTGTACTTTGGAACCAAATATAAGGAATTCACATTTGTCTAAATTTAATTTCAAGGAATGTGCGAGCAACCAATCAAGAACGTCAGCCATGCAAGATTCAAGGCGATGAACGGCTCGTTCTGCAGCGGCTTGATCTGAATTGAAGGAAATCATAAGTTGAATATCGTCTGCATAAATATGATAATCTATGCCATGTTGTAACAAAACTTGTCGCAATCCAATTAAATAAATTGAGAAAAGAGTGGGCCCGCCCACAGAACCTTGTGGTACTCCACAAGAGAGAGGCAAAGCAACTGATTTGCAACCATTAATACAAACGATCTGAGAGTGGTATGACAGATAAGACTCGAACCATTTGTATGCCTCACCCTTGACACCAAGTGAACTAAGTGTGTTCAAAAGGATAGTGTGATTAACGGTGTCGAAGGCGGAGGACAAGTCTAGCAGCAGGAGAGCAGTTGAGTTACCCCTATCCATCCCTTGCAGGATATAGTTGGACACATTCACAAGCAGTGTTTCCACACTATGATGGGTTCTGTAACCTGACTGGAAAGGGTCGAACAAATTATTGTCCAGAAAATAATCCGAAAGACGAGAAAACACAACCCTTTCAAGAATTTTAAACAAAAACGGTAGGTTTGAAACTGGTCGATAATTTTGGAGGGAATTTCGGTCCAGAGAAGGTTTCTTCAACAACGGAGTAACATGAGCTATTTTCAATGAGGAAGGAACATGTGCCTGCTCTAAACTCAAGTTAATCAAGTAAGAAAGGATGGGAGCGAATGTGGAGGAACAGTCCATTAATAATTTAGTGGGAACAGGGTCTAACTGACACGATTTGGGGGGTAGTTTACGTAAGAGTGACATAATCTCATTGGGGGTAGTAGGTTGTATTACTTCAAAGGAAGAGGAAGTAAGGGGATGGTGTGGTGTTTTGTCAGGTGATAAACTGTCGCAGATGGTCTTGACTTTCGTCTGGAAGAAGTGGATGAATGTAGAGGCCATTTGCTGGCTATCCGTGTGGGCTGGAAGTGGTGGTAACTGTCGACGATTCAGAAGTCGGTTTGCTACTGAGAAGAGCTTTCTTGAATCATTCCGACAGTCTTCAATAAGATCTACAAAGTATGAGCGCTTCGCCTTTTTCACAAGTGAATTTACGAGGTCACGCTGGGCACAGTACAGTTCTTTGTCAGTCTGAAGTCGGCCATTGGCCCTCCATTTCCTCTCCAGTTGTCTACGTAACCTCTTCTGAGTACGAATGTCATTGGTATACCACGGACAGTCTGCATGATTCCTCACTTTCCGTGATCTCTGAGGGGCATGAGCATCTAGAACCCTCCCGAGTTCTAACTTGTATTGATGAACAGCTTCTTCAACACTACATGTAGTAGGAGCAGTGATGTTGCAGTCAGTAATGCTGTTCGCGAAGGTCTCTCTGTCAATATCTCTGATGTTGCGACTGACATATGTAGAGTGGGTCCGACTAGGCTTAGCGAAGTTTAGCTTCCATAAGATCGCAGAATGGTCGGAGATGCCAGGTATGACCTGAGGTTTCGAACACAGGATTTGATCATCAGCGTTCCGCACCATGACAACGTCCAGGATGTGACCCTTGTCATGGGTAGGAGATTTGACTAGCTGGGAGATGCCGTGACTAGTGAGAAGATCATTAAACTTTTGTGTGTTCGGTGCAGAGTTATTGTCGAAGTGAATGTTCAAGTCGCCGGTGATGACAAAAGGTGGAGTTCTGTACATTCTACCATCAAGAAAGTCAGAGAATTCTTCCAGAAATTTGGAGAAGCTATGTCCACCAGGCGGCCTGTAGATTACCGAGATGTCCATACAGCTTGAGTCACTGGAGATAGTTGCAGACATACATTCAAAACTGCTGTAGTTTTCTGATGACATAATAACCTGGAGGCTGTCTTTATAAAGAAAAGCCACCCCACCACCCCGCCCAGAGACTCGTGGACAGTGTTTGAAAATGTAAGAGCCTGGGCAAAGGTCAGCCACGACTGCATCATCATCGGATGATAGCCATGTTTCACAAATACAGACAAAATCTAATTTGTGATCAACGACAAAGTCTTGAAATATGGTTGATTTATTGCGCAGAGAGCGGGAGTTGAGAGTACCAAATTTAAGATGGTCCTTAAAGCGATCACGCCCACCCCTCTTACCCCGATGTGTCCTCCGCCTTCGACACGATCTACTGATCCCGAGAGACACCAGCCGATCCCAAACAAAGTGATTCTCCTCTCGCCATTTTCCAGAGGAACGACCATCCCAAATATTAAGGGCATGAAGAGTCTGACTATCGTAGGTATGATCTATAGTCAAGGAATCATCAGAACAGTTAGGTCCTTGAGAGGAAGGCCCAGGGTTGGGGCTGATGTCTCCCGAGATCAGTAGTAAAATGCGGAATCTTGAAACAGAATTAGCATACCGCTGAATGGGAGTACCAATGTACTTGTACTTCCCCTTATGATGTACAGCTACATTACATGAATCAGTGGTATAATGCACAAGTACAGTACAAGAATCAGTAGTGTAACATACAATGCATACAATAGATACAAAGGCTATTAGGATAGCCACCTTCATTGTGTAAACTCGCACAACCGTGCAGACTATGCACTAACATGTGGAGTAAAGGTATGACAGGCAAGTGAATATGGCTACTTACAACACAAGTAAGGCAGTGGTGAATGCAAAACCAGTAGATGTAAAATGTATGACAAATATCACATGAAATATGGCCAAAATAGTCTAGTAGCCTCCTGAACACATACAGAATCAGATGATATAGATACAGTAACTGAATAACAGATTAAACAAGAAAAATTTACAGTAAAGTGCAGAGCTCTGTGGGCGGGCAACCACCAGGCGCGCACAACCCTAAAAAGAGGTGTAATAGACGTGTAGGGAGTGGGAAAGAAAAGAGAAAAGGGAGAGAGAGAGAGAGAGAGAGAGAAAGAGGGGGAGGGGTATAACAAGAGGGAGAAAAGGAGAGAATAATTAGGAGGGTCGTCTAGATATATGAAACCCAATGTATCAGATAGTTGGAATCCCTTCAAACCTAAACTGAACGCCAATTTGATTTCGGAGTGTACCGTAGAATCCGGCCCTTTTAATAGACGAAAACTAAATTCCTGCTTTGCAAGGGGCGATAGCACAAGGTTTGTTTGTTTGTTACATGAATGGTTGGATTCAGAAAAAAATGTGAATGGGCAATCTGGGGGGGGGGGGGGGGTCTGTGAAATCAGACCTGCAAGGGCTGTCTGCCTAATTCATTCCATCGATTGCTTTTACCTTTCAATTTTCTTAGCAGTCGGATAATCACCACTATGAATACACCTACCAGTTACACTTAGCCAAAAATTAGTTAATTAAAATCCAACGAGTCTGGAAATATCTATATGAAAAAGGTGGGTTCAGTACGTTCATAATTCGCACAAAGTCAAAGTTCTCAATTTACACATGTATATAGATTTTCCTAGGTCTCACAAATGGGGACAAACCGGTTTTCTACTAAATGTGTCCGTGATATTTGCCAATTTGGGTGTGTTATTTTTCTTCCGGGGGCGATATCCGTATTGCCTCGTTTGCCCTCGATCTTCCCGTTTGGAACTAATCAGCATTTTCAAAAATGTTCTATGCAAATGACACAAATATATATTTCTTTTACTGTATCAGACACTTCAATACTATAGTTCCTATAAATAGTGAGTTGTATCAGGGAGGTGAAAGAATGGTTTTAGTTGAATGGTCTCAAGTTGAAAAGTACAAAACAGAAGTCCTTCATATTTCATTTCGATCTCGTTCACAGAATTCTTTCCCATCCATTGTGATTGATGGCGTACACGCTCGCCCCCCCCCCCCACTCAGTGTTATTTAGGGTACGCGTATGCTTGTTCCCTCTTTTTGAAAGCACCCCCTATCTGAGGACTGCCAACATTTTTGAACCCCCCTTTCGCGGGCTTTTCGCGGGCCTTTCCTGCCTTGGAGACCCCCCTAAATCCGGAAACATGCTCAATGTACCCCCCCCCCCCCTAAATTCGGAAAATTTTCTCAGGAGTCCAAAGAGATGAGAGAAAAACAGAAGAAAAAAAAACTTTTTAAAGAAATCTCTGGGTGAAAAGTCAAATACCCCCCTTTTTTTTTTACAATTCTCGGGCCGGACTTTATCGCACGAAAAGTACCCCTTTACCGGACATTTAGAAACACGCATATGATATCCCTCCGTTCTCTGAGGGGGGGGGGGGGGGGGGGGCGTACAAGTTCACCCCGTCAAAAAGCAAGAAATTTGGGGTTGTTTTTTATTATCACTTCACATTGAAATGTTATGTTTATATAGCTCTAGATGTAGACTAGCTTCATTTGCGTTGTATACGATTAACACAATCCGACCTCGTATTGACAAAGCGACTACTGAAAGATTAGTACATGCGTTTGTTAAGTTTCATCTCGAGGTTTACCAGACACTCAAATCCGGAAACTTCAGGCTAATCAAAACTCGTATAATTTGTATGATCACAGAGATCAACATTCAAAAAGCTAACTAGTTCATGGAATGTAATTGTATTAGCATGCGATTTCATGATTTTCTCACATAAACGTGTACAAAGCGCGTTCAAATTAAAAATGATTGTACGTTAATGCATTCAAATTCGCACCTGACTGCCCTGATGAACGTTAAAGGTAATACAAAGTTTTGGTATGGGGTCATGAATTTGGTTCAAATGAACATATTGGAAGCATATATGATCCGACAATATTCAGTGATCGTTGTCGCGGGTAAAATCGAGTCTAAAGTTATGAAATTGAAAATAATAACTCTTTGTGTTGTATAGCCCCCTCTCAATGTCAAGATATCAATCAAGATATTATATAAAAATGTTTCTTGACTAAAATCGACCAATTAGCTATTCCCATTGGGAAATTATATATTACAACTACATATTCTGAGATTTTCATGTCGCAGCTACCTTTAAAAGGTATAATAAAGGCTCATAATACATCAACAGGGGCATCCAAATATATCAAAATTGTAAAGAATCACTGTCCACCCAATTTTCAAAATTTCCCAAAACATTGTATAACCTTTAAAGGTAATGCAAAGTTTCGGGAAATTTTGAAAATTGGATTGATAGTAATTCTTTAAGATGTTGATATATTTGGAAGCCCCTGTGCATGTATCATAAGAACCAGAAAATTTAGCCCCCAAAACACTTCTGCTTTCGAGAAATTGAATAATCAAAAATTTACCGGTACTCCCAGTCAATTTCAAATATTTCACATAGCGCCTATGGTAGTTGTGATCATGACAATCTAAGAATATGCAGTTCTGATATATAATATCCAAACGGCAATAGCAAATCGGTCTATTGTAGTCAAGAAACATTGTTTTAGAGATAAAGTAATCAGTCTTAATGGGGCGCTTTGCAACAGAAAGAGTTAATTATTTACAATTTCATTACTTTAGACTCGATTTCGACCGCGACAACGATCATTGAATATTGTAAAATCGCATAGGCCTCTACAATGTTCATTTGAACAAAATTCATGATCCCTTACCAAAACTAACGAATAGGCAATCATTTAAAGCATTCGGGCAGTCTTTTTTTCTTCACCGTACTGTTTAAGTTCTTTGCAATCTGCATCTGTTTGATGCAACCTTAATGTACCTTGAAATTGGACCTTTGCCTTATATTAAAATATCTTAAATGATAATAACGTAAGTAAGTACATGATAAGTAATTACTTACATGTAACAAAATCTTGAGCTATAATCATTCTGTAATCACCTGCCGAATCGACCAGACCCTGAAAATGGATGGCGCTGAGCGTGTGTTTTGGCCCATACCCGGCCGCTGGAGCAGAGGAGAAATTGTAACTGGGAGAAAAGATTAGAAAGAAAATAAATAAATGAAATATGATTCAAATAAACATTATAAAAGTTTAACTGATGAAAATGAAATTATATAATCAAAAACGGTGAAAAGAGTAAATATCACGTGAAAGAATTGCGGTAAGAATTACATAAAACTACACAACTTGTTTATGTTAATTTATTGCGAACTTTCAAAGTGCGAAGGTGTGTGTACCTATATTATGAAATTGAAACTGGTATTAAGGATGAATAGGCCATTTTCGTAATGTAACCAAATTTAATGCAAAAGCCTTTGTAAAGTGCCTCAAAACAATTTTTTTTCACCTGATAAAAATTATAGTATTTCAATAGACATAATCAGAGCTGAATACATTAGTTGTTGCCAGGTTGGACAAACATTATGGCTTGACCTACCTAGCAACACTTAATATATGCAGTTGCATTCTGACTATTGAAATACTTTTATTCCTATCAGGTGAATGAAATAATTTGTATTGAGGTACTTCACAAAGACGTATGCATTAAATTTGGTTACATTACGAAACTGGCCTATTGAACGTCATATTTCCAGCTGGCGCGAAATTGAATGGATTTCTCTCTAAATTGAATGAAATAAAATTTAAAAGGAATGATATCAAACGAAATTGAATGCTCAAAGAATGAAAATAAACCATGAGAGTAAAGAGTTGACGAAATTCGTTCGAACTTGAACACCTATTCATGAATTCGAATGCAATTGGGAGGGAAAATCTATATATATACTGAAGTTTATTTGTGATTAATTGCAATCAATGCATGAACACTCAAACTTGTATACAAATTTTATTTGAAACGGATTATCATACTAATTCTAACAACACTTCTATTTGATATGGAAAATTGGTCATGGATTTGTATTACTTTTTTGTTTAGGGTACTGATAGCAAGACTAGATTTATCTATCGTTATCATATCACGAGGCATATTTTGCTGTTACGCCATTTAAGTTGTGTGATTTGTCAACAATGATCATCATCACCTGATCATCATAAATGCCTATTCACGATCGCATTACTCGTAATTTAATAGTTGGACTATTCTGGCTTTTACTAGCTGTAGTCGTGGTAGAAATCTGCTGGGCCAGTGCCTGTTTCATGTGGACTCTGTCACCAGATAAGTTCCAAGCGCAACTGCCACGAAAATAATATAATAGAGGGGTGGGGTATAAAAAGGGAGAGAAGGAGAGAGAATAATGAGGTGGGTCGTCTATATATAATTATTACTATGAAACTCATGAATCCGAAATTTGGAGTCCCGTAGAATTCGGCCCTTTCAGACGTGAACTTAATCCTTGCTATGTAAGGGCCGGGCGATACAGCACAAGTTTTTTGTTTGTTTATATAGCGACATGAAATTAGTGGTTTAAATCAGGGCAAATGTGAAAAGGGTACTCGGGGGGGGGGGGTGTATATTTTTCAATTTCTGTGAAATCACGCCTGCAAGGGTTGTCTGCCTTCATTCCATCGATTGTTTTTACCTTTCGTTTTTCAAAGGAGGGGGGGGGGGGAGGGGGCATTTGATCCCCGGCGAAAATACACCTACCAGTTACACTGGCCTCAAACCAAATTAGATGAATAATATCCAGCCTTAATAGACAACGAGTCTAAAAGAAAGTAGCAAAATCAAAGACGCAGACTCGTGAAAGTGTGAACGAAATCAGACAGTGAATAGGAATTTAGTTATTCATTTGACTGGTTGCGTAGCCTAGCTAAAGGCCCGGTCCCACTGCACTTACGGATGCAAAGAGGATGTAAAACGTAAACAAATCTTGCCATCCGCTGGAAAACGCTATGCATCCGTTGTGTACTCATTGCATACGCTCTATCCATCGAGCATCCGTCCACTGTGATTTCATCCGCGCAAAAAGTTTTGAGCTGCACAAAACTTTTAGAACGGATGAACTTCCGCCGTGTAGGATGTAAATCCGCGACAAATACGGGAAACAAACGTTCTATGTCCGTTACCACCCGTTAAACGTCCGCTGTACCCTCTCTGCATCCTCTGGGCATCCTCGCAACTCACATCCGCTGCAGCTGAAAACGGAAAGAGGGAGGAAAGATATGGTACATGGAACGTCTATACATCGTTAGTAGCACGGAAATAGAAAGGATGTAAGCGTATGCATCTTGTATTTAAAGTATTCAAAGCTGTCATCTATTGTCATCCACTTCCATCCGCTTTCATCCGCTAGGTTTCCGATAAACATCCGTTTAACATCCCCGCTACATACTACCCACGTCCGTTATTTTCCGTTCTGTTTTCGCAAATTTTCGCAAATTTTGTTCATTTCTGGAGCGGATGAAAACGGATGGAGCCACACGCGAAATTTTGCTCGTCCGCTGTGTCCTTTATGCATACGTTTTGTGTCCATCGGCCAGTGGGACCGGGCCATAACTTAGGAATAGGGACTTATAGATTTGCGTGGACTGATACGTGTACGTGACTTCCATTCAAGGCAGTGCATTAACGGCACGTCGATCGTAGCAATCCCCATTGTCTTCGTGCGAATCTAAAAGTCCCCAATGTACGTCGGAAACGACTTGCCCTTGAATTAATCACAGGTGAGAGTGAATCGGCCGTATTTCGGATACAGATTCATTCTTAATCTGTATAACGTTTTACTAATCAATCAGTGACATTGATTATGAAAAAAGGGGGTTAACGTTCATAATTAACACAAAGTCATAGTTTTCAGTTCAATAGTGTATATAGATTTGTGATAGATAAGTGGGGACAAACCTGTTTTCTACTCGATGTGTATGAGAGATTTTTCTACCGAGGGAGATATACATACCGGGACTGATCTAGCTTTTTGCCAAAGGGGGGGGGGGGGGGGGGGGTTGACCCAGTGGCGAATCCAGAATTTCCCAAAAATGGCATCGTTTTACTATTTTACTTTTTCCCTTTTTTTCCCTTCTTTTTTCTTCTTCTTTCCACCCCTTTATTGTTCACTTGTGCGCCAAGGGTGGGGGGGGGGGGGGAGGGGCGGGAATTAAAACCGCCCCCCCCCCCCCCCCCCCCTAGATCCTGACGCACAGCCACGATCATCCTGTTTTAAACTAATCTGGGTCGACAGCATTTATAATGAGCCATACATATTTATTATCAGGCCAACACTTTTCTGAGGCGCAAATGGGGGAGGGCCAATAACGTTTAATAAGTTGCGAAGTACTTATATTAAGATATCTATAAAAGCAGGAATTAAAAAAATGTTTCAGTTTTAAACGCGCGTATTATTCAACTCTGAATACATGTATTTACACCTTTATTCTTATACAAATAGCAATTAGGTCTACACTCTACAGACAGAATAGGTGAAAACTTTTACAACAAAACAGGGTCTGTCATCATATAATTGAAACAGTTTTTGTGATTAATTGCAAACAAAGCATGAAAACACTCAAACTGGACTATATATATATATATAATATTTAAAACGGATTGTCATTCTTATTCTCAGTGGCGGATCCAGGAATTTCCTACGGGGGGGGGGGACACAAAACGCATGGGGTGAAATTATGAAAAACGAGGGCGAGGGAGCGGAGGTGGGTCTGGGAGGGGTCAGAACCCCCTCTTTGAGTAGGAAGCATTTGCAAATTTAGAACTACATTAGGCGCAATTTCGGACACTTCCTGGAGTAATGTTGGAGTAATTTTGCTTTTTTTCTGGGGGGGGGGGGGGGGGGGCTACACGCCTGGCAAGAGGGACCCCATATTTTGTGTGTCGTCATTCTCAAATGAAAGTTAATTTTGAGTTTGCTTCTCGCTTAGTTTGAAAACATAGCAGTTACATTATGAAAGATGAACAAAATAATGATAATATATTATGCTTTTTATTTGCAAGAACTCCAGGTTCCACAAAGTGAAGTTATCACAACAAACATAGATATGCCCCACATGACATCATGTTTGTTGCATAAGGATGTGAGAAGTGAGAGTGTTTGCACGAGTAGAAATATGTCAACATGGTTAATATGCAAATAATTATATGCCCAAGAGATCCACAAATATATGAACAAATCACAGGAAAAGATGCTCTGTTCATGAAAATTTCATGACATTTGATATCCAAACATAATTTCTTTATATCATGTTCGATAAAGAATGAAATAGATATCAATATCTTGCTTTCGCAAAGGATTTGTTTTTCCAGCAGAAGAAAGCTACAATAAACTTTGAATAAAACTACTGGTAGTGGTATGTACTTGAAATAAAAAATTAACTCTTGTCCTCCATGACAGTAGATTCTTATAATATCATCCCCCTTTTTCTTTTCCCTTCTCATTATTCTCCTTTTCCCCCCTTTTCTCTCCTCCGTCTTTCCCCCTTTCTTCCTTTTCTGCCTTTTCTCTTCCCCTATCTTCCTTATCCCCTCCTTTTTCTCCTCTCTCTTCCCCTTTCTTCCTTTACCCATTTTTTTTTCTCTCCCCTTTTCTCTCCTCCCTCTTTTCCTCTTCTTTCTCTCTTCCCTTTTCTTCTTTTCCCCTTTGACGGGGAGGGGGAGGGAGGCACGTGCCCCCTGTGCCCCCCTGAATCCGCCACTGAATTCTAACAACACTTATATTATGGAAAACTGGTCATGGCTTTTTATTATTTTATTTTGTTAGTGTACTGATAGTAAGACTAGATTTAGCTATCGTTATCATATCACGTGGCTTATCTTGGAGTTACACAACTAATTGTGTGTGATCTGTCAACAATGATCATCATAAATGCCTATTCACGATCGCATTACTCGTAATTTTAATAGTTGGACTATTCTGGCGTTTACTAGCTGTAGTCGTGGTAGAAATTTGCTTGTTCGGTGCCTGTTTCATGTGGACTAGCTCCGTCACCAGATAAGTTCCAGCAAATATTTTGTTGACTCCATTAAACGTAGTGACAACATGCATCGGACAGTGGTCGTATCGCTCACCTTGGTTCTAGGGGGCTTGATCAGCCAGGGGACCGCTTAGGCCCCGATCCCGCTGCGACCGCCCGGCTTCTTCTACAGCAACGGGTCATGTGATGCTCCTATACAGCTCCAATCCTTTGTAGATCTTATGTGCCCAGATTCGAAAGCTGCTTGGCGTACATATCAGAAAGTTGCAGATTATTATGGACCAAGCACAGTGAGGTTTTCAGCTTTGATATTCCCCCTGCCTTATCATCGAGCTGCAATGGTTGCTGCGCAGGTGAATTATGATTCTCATACTCTTATTTATGTATGTTTGGTCATAACAATGTCCTCTCCAGACACATCCACGCTAACTTTGTGATGAGAGAAGCGCATAGCGTGTGGAAAGACTTATCTATTTTGTTTAAGTTTAGCTTTAATTTCCAGGGGTGGGCCATTGACAATTATTAAAGAAGGGAGGTTGTTCCAATTCCAGTCCCTTTAACAGGTTTTCGAAGAAGGAGTCCTGGAATTAAACCATGGCCCTAAGCTTGATCTGGAGAAACTTCTGGTCATTCCCTCTAGTAGCTCTTGGGTTACGTTGAATAAATTCATCCAAATGGATATTAACTAAAAGTCATTCTTCATCTTATATAACATGGAAAATCTTTGATTCATCCTTCGTGTCTGAAGGGAATCCCAGCCAAGATTGCTCAGGGCCTTTAACAGCTAGTGCCCTCTTCCCATGCAGGCACGTAGCCAGAGTTTGATATTGGGGGGGGGGGGGGGGGCACATACATGTAATCGATCGAGGTCAAAAAAGGGGTATAAAAAAGTTCAACCGATCTTGGAAATTTAGGGGGGCACCTGCCCCCCGTGCCCCCCCCCCCCCCCCCCCCGTGGCTACGTGCCTGCCTCTTCCACTCGGTAGTTATTAATAAATAATCCTGCTGTTTGTCGCTGCACTCTTCCCAGGGACTTAATGTTTATCTTCGAAGATGGATCCCAAAGCTGCTGCTGCATACTCGAGCAGTGGACGGACCAGCATCTGGTATGCAGTGGATTTGGTGTTAACAACACAACATATTTCGCCTAATGACCCTCTGTCATTTGGAAACAACGTATCTCATTGGTATGTGTGTTCCAACGCAGCGTGTTAGAGATATGCACACCTATTACGGATGGGAAGAAACACAGTCTAGATCTCGACCACATAAATTTAGAAATGCTTTGGCGAATTTATTTTCCAAGCGTCATTGAGTTGCACCTGCCAGGATTAAATTTCATCATCCAGGTGTCCTGCCAGCATTCCAGAGACCGGAGGTCATGTTGGAGCAAACTGTTGTCATGCTCTACCGATAGTTACTGGGGTGTATAAAATGCAGTCATCTGCAAACAACCTAGTCTTAGAGTTGATGTTATTTGGTATGACATTGACGTACAGTAGTAACCACAATGGCCCAGTCACTGTTCCTACTTGTCCTTGAATGACTACTACTACTCTTTTTCCACCCAAACGGCAATCCCCCCCCCCCCCCCAAGACCATAATATTGAAGCTTTTCTATTAGCCGACGGCGAGGATCCTTATTGAACGCTTTCGTAAGTCCAACAAAACCATGTCGACCAGGTTGCCGTTATTCAGTTCCTTACTAACATCGTGTATTGTGAGAATAAGTTGAGTCTCAGTTAGATCTTTTAGCTAGAAAACCATGTTGGCAATCAGTAAAAAATGTTCTTGTCTTCCAGATATTTCATAACGTGACTGTGGATAATAATTATGTTCCATCACGTTGCAGACTATACCGACGTCAAGGAGACAGGCCGGTAGTTTCCTGGCGAGCTTCTGTTCCCCTTTTGAAGATAGGAGCTATTTTGCTTCCTTCCTTCCCTTAGGCACGGACCCAGTGTCAACTGAGGACTGAAATAGATCCTGCAGAGGAGCGGCTAGCTCCACAGGACCGATCCTCAGAAACCAGGGTGGAATATCGTCAGGCCCAGGTGATTTACTGGTATCCAGCTCTCTAAGAAGTTCCTCAACTCCAATACTGGTGATAGTAAGGTGACTAATTCCCTTATACGGACTGGAGACCAAAGGTGGAACATCGCTATCAAATTCGGTGACAAAAACACTTTTGAACTGGTCATTCAGTAAATTGGCCTTGTCTTTGTCGTCACTGACAACACGACCACCGCTCCCTAAATCGGAAATGCATTGACTATATCTGTTGAGATGGCTGATTAAGCTCAAAAATCGTTTTCGAGTTTTCGGAAGATGTAGGAAGATCTAGCTTGCTTGATGATTTATGAGTGTTTTCCCTCCATTGCCCGAAGACCTCCCGATCCTCGGACTTCCCTGAATGTGCTGCTTATTGTACAACGTACCTCTGATTCTTCCTTACATCACATTTTAATGTACGGTTAAACCAAGGAAAGTTGAATCTGCTTGAGGTGAACTAATGGGGTACGTGTTTCTCCATGGTGACCTTGATAGCAGATTTGATTGCTTCCAATTTGTCATCGATACTTTTCCACTACATTGATTGAAAGTATCCATCAGAAAAGCTTTAAAGATCATCTGTAATAGACGAGACGTCTGCTTTGTCTCTCAGATAAACCTCTTGATTGGCCGTTTCCTGATAGGTGCAATCTGCAAGTCGACTACCACCGAGTTGTGAGCACTGAGCAGCGATACCATTAGCCTTCTGACAAGGCCTCGTGACTTGGGCTAAGCGGCTGAGATGAGTCAAGATACCCGGAGTGAACGCGCGACCGAGTGACGAATGTCACGCTCTCGCTCTCTCGTTCACCCGGGTTTTCGCGATTAGTCTCGATTTAGTCGCTCGGCGTCTATCAGACAAGTGGCCTTGTTTAAAGGCTACGATACCATCGACTATTGAAATCTTATCCACTATTTCTGGATTATTAGCGAACACCAAGTCAAGGATATTTTACGTCTCACCCTGTTTCTTAGTTGGTTTGTTTACATGTTGGTATAAACCCATTTCCCCAAACCAGTGACAACAGTTTATCAGCAGCTCTGTTGCTACCGCCTTCACCAGGTATGATACAATGATTGTCCTAAAATATGTTAGGTAGCTTGAAGTCCCCTGTGAGAACTACGATGTGAGAATCAATTTTATTTCCCAAGTCCAAAAATGATTGACCAAGTTTATCAATGGCGTTACCACTGACGTCGCTAGGTTGGCGGCAGAAGACCCCAACAAAGAGAGGTTTACTGTACACCCCTTCACGTTAGTTTCGGTGCAGACAATTTCGCATCTTCGGTAGCTTTACATCGGATGGTAACAAGATTCTCTTTAACAGCTTGAAAAACACCACCTCCTGTTGTGAAAGACTCATGGTCTTTGCGGAAAACGGTGTGAGAAACTTCCCCATTTCCCACACTCGAACCCACCATGATTCTTTACCGCAAACAAAGTCTGGTTAAGTGTCATCAATGAGACTGTCATGTCGCCTACATTGGAGCGTAAACCACGGCAGTTAGTTCATACGAGTCTAGCATGTGTTTACCTAGTCCGTTTGTTCTGATCCTTCATTCTTTCTTTCCTCCCTTCCTCCTGGTTTCGATGACTTAGTGATCGATCATTCATCAGCACGGACCAAGACTTGGAATGAGTTTTCAGTGGAGACTCCGAACTTAAACAGTTCAGCTCACTATTGAATGGACAAATCCGGTTACAGCTTGAATTCATAAGCGAAGAGTACACATCATCATCAATATGCTACAGCAAACACAGTGAAGCCATTTGTCGCAGCTATCACATTGCACCGCATGGTGATGCCTGAGCAGATCGCCACGCACACACACTACATGGGCACAACAGTCAGGGCAATACCATGGTACAGGGTCAGCGATCAAGTTCCTTGCTAAAGCAGGACATACAAACATACCTATGGTGGAAATATTCCTGGCAATCAAAACAACGAAGTTTAATTTTTCCAAAAATTAATTTCTTGTAGATTGTACAATTAAGATATGCTGTCCTTTTTTGCATTTAGACGACGAACCGGAAGCTGAAGAAGCCTGTAAAGGACCCGTAGGATACCTTATGGATTCCGTACGGGCTCCGGACGGTTCCCGGACGGGCCCCTCATGATTTTGTTGGGTAAATTTTCATGAAAAGTCTTTACGGGCGCCTTCTGGTGCTCAATGGTGTCGTACATGTACCCTATGGCTACCTCATGGGCCCCTCACGAGACCCGGTCATATGCACAACACCAGGCGTCTGCCGTCCGGGCACCTTGAGGACCACGGCCTAGGGCCCCAGGAGCCATGGAGTGCACCACTTCATCGGACGGAGCCCGTAAGCTTACAGCCGCCATCACACCGAACTAGTTCTCAATACGTTCTGGAAAATGTTGCCAAGCGAACGGAGTTGAACGTACTAGCAACTGTTTACGATCTGTTTAAGAACTTCATGGACGGGCTCAGACTGGCTAAACGGGAGAGTGCTCTAGAACGTTGAGCCTATTCAAATTGTCCCCGTCCTGCAATTAGCCAGAGTGAAAACGTATATACTTAAAACGAGAAGGACGTACTACAAATGGACTGATTGCCGTACTATGAACGGAATTGCCGTAGTCCGATCCTACTTGGAACGTGTTACGACGTGCTGTGGTCGAGCATCAATTAGTAGCAGCTAAGCCCCATCACACCAAACTAGTTTTCTCTACGTTCCGGAACCGTCCTAGAAAATTGTAAGAAACGGGTAAAGGTCGGGGTAGAATGTGTCAATAATGTATATAATACGTTCCTAGATCGTTCAGGAACAGTCCTCAAAACGTCCATCTTGTCTGTACTCCGTTCACAGTCAGTTCACATCAAGTTTAGATCGGGTTAATTTGCCATTTACAAGCAGTCCAAGCTCGTCCGTAATCAATTAAAAACAGTTCTCGACTCGTTCTACCTCGTTCCCAATACGTCCAAACCGTTGTAACTAGTTCGTAACACAATCATAGTAGGACCGAAGTACGGCAAGTTCAGTTGTAGTACCGGGGCACCTCGTGGGCGCCGCAGAATATGTGACCACACATGTTGTAGAAATCAAAAATGGAAGGGACCCGTACGATCTCTAAAATCCACGGCACGTCGCCGGGTAAGCTATGGTCACCACCCCAAAAATAGCCTTCTCGGTGGTCGGGCGGCGAAATTTGAGCCAATTTCGACCGGGCACCGAGCGGCGGCATGCAGCCCGGGAACCCCTTGTTTTTAGGGCATCGCTCGGTCGGAAGTTTTAGCGCGGAGTTAAAATTCCTAGGCGCCTGCTCACTTTTCACTCGCCACCTAAAATACGCTCGGTGCCCGGGCGGTCTACTCCCGGGCACCGACCTAATCGAGCGTTCGCCGTCGAGCGATATAGGTCAAAAATCGAAGACGCTAGGTCACAGGCTGCCGAGCGGTCGCCGGCCGGTCACCGCTGGGAGATCAGTCGGTCACTGGTCGGCGATTTTCAAAATCGGTCGGCAGTCTTTGACCTAGAGGCTTCGACTTTGACTTAAATCTCTCGACGGTGAACACTCGATTGGGTTGGTGCCCAATTTCTTTTTCAATTTCTTTAAAATTAGCCGGTGGCCGGTGAGAGACCGCTCGGGAACTATTGGGTCATCAGTCGGTCACTGCCGGGCCGCCGCCCGGAGAGGCTCTCCGATTTCGCCCAGATTCGTGAACATAGCTTTAGTGACCTAGGGATAAGTAGAGTATCTTCGTATTTTGTGCTGTGATTTTGTGCCGTGTGCGGGGTGTGGCTGCGAAACTGTCCTTCTTGATATTCAATATAAAGTAAAAAGTGTGGTGGTGCAAGTAAACAGTTCTCCTGTGTACATCGTGCTTTAAACATGAACTTTTAAATAAATATGTATTAATTACAACAACAAAATTAAGGCCTAGTGCCAGATTTCCTTCCTCTGCGTTATAATTCAAGATCAAACATTATAAAATCAATCTAAGAATAATCAATAGTCAAATACTTATCATTTCTAAAATACATAATTGGTCAAAGCAATTTCGTCGAATAGTGGCCTACATGTGTGAATTCTTTAATTTGTCTTGCTGTTAATTCCTTTGCAGATATGGTTGCTAAATACATATTTCAGCATGTGGATAATAATTATCATGATTAAGATGGTTGGATAACAACTTAGGATGTTGATATTAGTCATGGACAGATTCCTGACTAGTCATTGTATACTAATAAATGCTATTTAGCATAAATTAGTGCATAGAGCAGTTTAATTTCTGGAAACATATGATAATTAGTAACAATATAACAAAATATGTGTATTGTTCTCCGTGACTTCTCACTGTAGAAAGTTTATAATTATATATATTATTTAATGTATATTTAGTATGTAAATATTTAGATTCAAACATGATAAAGATAGTTCTTCCTCTGACTGATCATTTATAATTTTCTGACATTCTATTTGAAAATCCTTTCATTTTAGGGAGCTTTTGTAGCAGCCAGACTTGACTCAAACAAGACATACAGCTGGTTTAACACGGTCTTCGACAAGCAGGCAGCACTCTATAATGCTAACATCACTGAACAACCTGATAGCTATATTGTAAAGTAAGAAACGTTTTTAATTCCAAGTAATACCCACTGCCCCTCCTCCTTCTCCTTAATTTGTTCATCTTGGTTTTCATACATGTTCTTGACATAAATCCTTTATTAAACCTAAGTACGTTTTCATGAATGTATTGATTACATTTATCTGTAGCTTACATAATATTAACGGAATTTAAGAGTCCAAAGGGATTATGTAAAATAATTGTAATCATACAATAGTTATCATGCAGTAATTTCTGTATATACAGTGCATGCAAAACGATAAGAGATATAAAACACATTTGTTAACATTACAATCTTCAAAAACAGGCAGAGAAGTTGTGTTTTGTACATAAGGGATTATAATTATCAGGACTTAGGTGGTTCAAGCTGACCACAGCTCTAAATCAGATGAGTAAACTTGATCTCAATGTTAATGATTTTATAACCTGATTTGTAATAATTTTCATTTTATTTTTATAAATCTTTGTCCCTCTTTCAGTGCTCTTTCTGAGTGGGCGTCAGATGTTGGTTATTCAAAGGCTCAATTCATGATGCACCTGTCTCCAAGTGATCCAACGCAATCTTTAGCTAGGGTGGAGTTCAAATATGGTGCAACACGTGAGTTATTCCAAGTCTCTTGGATAGAAGGTTTGTGAGTTTGTGCGTGTGTGCGTGTGAGAGAGAGAGAGAGAGAAAGAAAGAGAGAGAGTAATAATTTAATGAAACGTCAAAGCTTGCGCGCTTCACGCGGGAGGAGGGGGGGGGGGGACTCAATTCAGACAAGGACACGATACAATGAATCGCCTTCTTTTTCTAATAACGTAATGAAACATGAAAGCCTTCCGGGAGGGGGGGGGGGGATTGAAATCAGACAAGGTATAAGAGTCGAGGACGGTATAATGATTCGTGTTCTTTCTCTAATACTTAAATGAAACGTCATAGCTTCTGCGCTTCGCATGGGAGGGACAAAACAAGAACTAATCGGTGGCCTCTACACTCCCCCCCCCCGCTACCCCCACTGAAAAAGGTCTAGCGACGCCCCTGATAAAAACAAAGTTTATACACTCGAGAAAATTTGTGCAAGTACTACTGGTGAAGTACCGGACCACCGTCTTCGTGCTTTGTGTAGCAACGAAGCGTATACAACGTCTCACGATGTGAAAGATCACTTTTCTCTAACTTCTAACCAATCAGAAGGCCTCGTTTTTTCCAAGAAGTGCCGATGGACATTAATGCGCCAAATGTGATTCTCAAATTGCAAAACATCTCAACTCTTGAAGGGGGTAGGTGAAAGCAATTTTACGTCATAATACTTCAGGAAGTGCCTAAAAAAGCGTTTAATGTGGTTCTAAAATAAAATTTGCACCAAAAAAATCCATTCAACCCACCCCCGCTTGGTCGCTCCGCGCCCTCGCCGCTAAAGCCTCGCTCTGTCGCTTAATCGTTTTACATAATTTTTCACCCCATGCCATTTTGTGCCTCCCCGGTTAGAAATTACTGGATCCGCCACTGATGCCCATACCCCTTGAGCTTCGGGGGCTCCGCCCCTAGACCCCACTTTGAAAAACGTTCAGCGGGGCCTGCATGTAAGAGCGGGGGTGATGCGGATTTTTTTGTCAGCCTCCCTCCCCCCCCCCCCCAACGTTTTGGCTCATTACACCACTGCGTTGCTATACATTACTGTTTCTGAGCAGTCATCCTTTTACCCTCTTGGGTTAAATCCCGTCTTGCAGGTGGTGTGTTCGGGACACCGCAGACCTTCATCAATGGTGTTGTCGTCTCTTCCAAACCTAACTGGACGCTCGGTGACTGGAAGCAAGTCATAGATCCTCTTCTGGCTGAAAATAAATATTTCTTCTGACGACACTGAGCTGCATTACCCAAAGATTTATTTCGAGGGTAGCTTTTAAAATTATTGTTTGCTTTAATGATTTAATTGTTTATTCAAGATGTATTGATGTTAATTATAGGGCTCGATCAGATATAAAGCAGTAACCTAAAGATTTTCTCATGCAATGTGCAACTGAATAGCAACTGCACGCAGCAAAGGTCCAATGCATGTTAACCAAGCTGTGTGTTATACTGGGTCAAAAGTATATATGTATATATATATATATATATATATATATATATTTCATATGCTAATAGAGCACTGGCCCGCCATTATATCCTAGAGCCTCTGAAACACATAAATTATTCTATGCATGAGATGAAAAGAAAACGTAACTACCATATGGAGTCACTATTGACTTTGTACTTTAAACTTGTATTTACTTTGTTATCGTTGTAATAGGTTGCACGTGATAACTTTATTATAATAATCTTCCATTTACCGCTGTATTACAAGAAGTAACAGTAATACATGCATAGCAAAAATAGGCTAATGTTGCTTTGTTTATGGCATACCTGTATTTGCCGTCATCAAATGAAGTAATATAATATTACTACTACTAATAATATTTTTTCAAGAAGACGACAAGCCATAATGCAAGTTTGTCCTACATGTACCTTACAACAATTAATTCATGCAAATCGCATTATGAATAATAAAATACAATTATTTGTAACGGATGAATGAAATAATTTGTAATATGGCACTAAACAAAGATTTATGCATTAAATGCATTACAAAAATGGTCTTTTCAATGTCTTACTTTAATGTCTGAGATTCATGGTCACCTTGTTCTTTACTGTTGTTAAAGTCTATGGTCCATCAATTTTTTTTTTGTAGTAGTGCAATTTAACTTTATTATTCTAAAATAATGATAGATCATTGTTTAAGCATGGGTGTGACAAGACTAAATCTGAAGCCTTCATTTAATTATATTGTTTCAAACTTATTCACGTTATGAAACAAAAGTATTGACTGCTATGCCAGCATTTGTGTATTATTATTCAATTTTCCTTAATTGATATGCAATATTGAATATACGAATAATTATGATCTTTAAAAAAAGAAAGGATGCAGTGTTCATTAATATGTTGTGTGTGTGTGTGCGTACGGAAGAATGCAAATATGATTTTGATAAATATTGGTCTGTAAATAATTTGTTACAGCAAGAGGTGTAATGGACGTGTAGGGAGGGAGAGAGAAAAGACAGAGACCGACAGAGAAAGGGGGTATAAAACGAGGGATCGAGATAAGGAGAGAGAGAGAATAATAAGGAGGGTCATCTATATTACTATGAGACCCATGTATCAGATAGTTGGATTCCCTTCAAACCTAAACTTAATCCCTGCTATAATATGTAAGGGGGCGATAGCACATTTTTTTTTTTTTTTTATACATGCATGCTTGGATTCAGAGGGAAAACAATTTGAAAGGGGGCACTCGGGGGGGGGGGGTATACTTTTCATTTGTGAATTCACGGCTGCAAGGGCTGTCGATCTGCCTTCAGTCCACCAAATGCTTTTACCTTCTTTTTATCAAAAGGGATGGGGGGGGGGACATTTTATCCCCAGCAGAGAATATAAACAACTCAGTATAGTTACACTTAGTCCAATACCAATTAGTCAAGGAAAATCCAGCCGTAATAAACAACGAGGCAAAAGGAGAGTAATCAAAGAAGCACTGGTGAAAGTTTGGACGAAATGGGACAGTAAATAAGAAATGTATTCATTTACTAATAGCTTATATATACCATATAGGAATCATGTACGTCGGAAACAACTTGCTCTTGAATTAATCACAGCTTATAGTGAATCATGCAGCCGTAATTCGGATACGGATTAACTCTTAATCTTGATAACGGTTCAATAATAAATCAGTGATATATATATATATATATACATTTTTGTATGAAAAGATGTGGGTACGTTCATAATTAGCACAAAGGCATAGAGTCCCTGATTGATTGATTGATTTGTATTCGACAAGCTTCCAACATACAACAATATACAATAATAACACATCAGAAATAAGTCAGCTTGAACAGGAAAACCCACGAAAGCTCGAGAGCTTATTTCCAGTGGGGTCCCTTACAGACATGTATAAAATTAATAAGTTAAAATAGTAATATCCACAGACAGATAAGAAAATTAAAAGAACTACTTATTAAAGATAATGATAATAATAACAACATTAAACTGATGATAGAAATGATATTAAGTACAAAAGAAAAAGAAGAAGGAGAAGAAGAAAAGAGGAAAAGGAAGAGGAGGAAAATAATGATAAATTTGTAGAATTTCTATAACGTACGAAAACATAATAATGATTGAGGCCTATAGGCCTATAGTGGGTTGATTTGCATGGGTCTAGCAAAATGGGTACAAACCTTCTTTTCTACACTCGATTTGTTCGTACGTGAGATCAATTTGGGAGTGTTTTTTTTTTATTCTGGGGGCGATGACTGTATGCCCCTGGCCTGTGACGTATTAATTCCTCCTATTGTTAACTAATCAGGGTCGATCGACATCATTTTATATAATCTAGTAGGCCTATAGACAGGCGCGGATCCAGGATTTTCCAATAGGGGGGGGGGGCGGAAATTTGAAAATTGCGCAGACAGTTTTTCAACTCAACATACCAATACTGACAAAGTCATATTAGAATCACCATACCGGTATTTTTTTTTGACATTTTCATCGGGGGGGGGGGGCTGAAGCCTCTTGCCCGAAAAAGTAATTTTCTGGTTTCACAATTCGGCTAGTGAGCGAAGCGAGCGAGCAAAAATTTGAGGATAATATGTATTTTGGGAAAGTGCTATTTATCACCAAAATATACGAGAAAAGATATAACAAATTCATATTCGGGCAGCTCGCTGTCCCCTCCCCCTCCCCCCCCCCCCCATTACGCGCGAAGCTTTGACCTTTCATAGTTTAATGAAATTATTAGAGAAAGAAGATAATCCGTTGTTCCATTCTCGACCTTCAATCCTTCTCTGAATTCAGTTTCCATACCCCCTCCCGCGCGAATCGCGGAAGCTTTGACGTTTCATTAAATCTTTAGAGAAAGAGTACCGTTCTCGACTCTTAATCCTTGTCTGAATTGAGTTCCCCCCCTCTCCCGCGCGAAGTTTTGACGTTTCATTAAATTATTAGAGAAAGAAGACGATTCGTTGTACCGTTCTCGGTTGTTAATCATTGTCTGAAATCAGTCTCCCCCTTCCGCGCAAAGCGCGGAAGCTTTGACGTTTCATTGAATTATTAGAGAAAGAAGATGATTCGTTGTTTCATTCTCGACTCTAAATCCTTGTCTGAATTCAGTTTTCCTCCTCCCGCGCGTAGCGCGTAAGCTTCTGACGCTTCACTAAATTATGAGAGAAAGAAGATGATACGTTGTCTCATTCTCGATTCTTAATCCTTGTTTGAATTCATTTTCCACCTTCTGCGCGAGGCGCGGAATCTCTGACCTTTCATAGTTTAATGAAATTATTAGAGAAAGAAGATAATTCGTTGTTCCATTTCCGACTCTTAATCCTTCTTAGTCCAGATTCAGTCCGTTCGTTCTTTTTATCCCCCACACACAACGCGGTCTCTCCTCTGATCGCGCAATCCCCAAATTTCCGTCCACACGAACGTATTCGAGGTCCAGATTTAGAGGAATGGCTAGGTCTACTTTCAACGTTGAGGGTGTGTTATTTTATCAGCTGATTGGGTGCGCTAAACGAAAACGGTACAGAGGCTGCACTAAATCCTTCTCTGAATTCAGTTTTCCCCTCCAGCGCAAAGCGCAGAAGCTTAACGTTTCATTAAATTATTAGAGAAACAAGATGATTTGTTGTCCCGTTTTAGACTTGTCAAAAATGTTTCTTTGTCTGCTCCTTTTTTCGTCCTATGTCCTCTTACTGCCCATACCGCCCCTAGCTACGCATGCTTTGAAGGGAAAATGAAACAATCATGATTGTGATAGCATACAATTAGGTCAGTAGAAATGAAAGGGGAAAAAAGATCTATGTATACACCAACCATGAAATAATCGCGACCGGGAGCGTCATATCTTAGTTTTGTGTTATCGGGCGAGGGCCGCGGAGCGGAGCGACCAAGCGAGATTTTGCAACGTAGAATGCTGAAATTATGCATTCTAGAAAATCCTTTAGTCCAATATGTACGTTCTTTCCGCTACATGTATATTTCTTTCTAGCTATATATCTAAATTTCCGGGGGGACGTGTCTCTCTATCGGGCCCAGGATCGCCGCCGCTGTCCATTATCACTACCTACATGAGTTCAAATATAAGCACAAGCGAGTTGGTATGAGCTGAATCCAAATGAAGGGCAAAATAAGAGTTGTGAAGCGGCCCTACCGTTAATTTAAAATTTGACTGTTTAGTATATAGCTTCTATTTGAAAGACATCCAAAACATTGTGCCCTTTTCAATTTTGTTCAAAAAGCAGGGGCTGTTTGTAACGTTTAACTTTGAATCCGTGGCTCGAGATTTTATGCGGCCGGTGTGACCGCGCCGTTTGTCCTACCGGTTTCGTTTGTCCGTCGGACATAATACGCGGGTTTTCTGCTCGCACGGATCGTCCGTGACTCGCCCGGATCGTCCGAGGGACGATCCGTGCGGATTCTTATCCGTGCAGTCTGTCCCCCATTGTTTTACGTGTATATTTGATAAAAGGAAGAAACTCGGCAAATCAATGTATTTAGACTCATTGCAAATCATGTGGTTGGCATTTTTTCTAGAAATTACATAATAATAACTCTCTACAATTTTTTAAAGCAAATGGGCCAGTCCTTTTGAAAGTAGAAGTGAATATTTTCTTTAAAACATTTATCCTATGAAGGCATACTCGTGATATTGGCCCCACAATAACTGTTGTAATCGATTGTACGTGGCTTCGTACTTACGGTCAGATGAGCATATTTTAATACCATATTCATGACACTGGCAGGTCACTAATTGGCGTATGGTCCAAGGGGCGGAGCCCCCGAAGCGCAGGGGTTTTAGGCATTACAATTAAGGTCAGATTAGCATCCAGGGGCCAGCCTTAGGGCCCAAGATGGGGTCCAGGGGGTAGAGCCCCCGGAATTAGCTCAGGGGTATGGGCATTTAATTACGGTTACATGAGCATACTTTCTTTTCTATTTCTTTCTATTTAATTCTCTTTAATATACTTTTTCAAAAGTGTGGGGGTGGGAGGGGGGGGGGGGCTTGAGCCCCCAAGCCCGCCGTTTCGCGGGACCTGATATGTCGGCCTCTAAATAGTAAATAAGCACATTTCTTGCCTGACTGTAAATTGTGATATATGTCATTCTCCAACAAACGCATAAAAAGTATAATTTACTAAAAAGCGAGGAAAAATCCCGAAAAATTAGCCATTTCAGCAACATCTGTATATCACTGGTATCAAATTAGAAAGAAAAAAAATCACTTTTAAAGTTTATATTGGTGGAGGGGGGGGGGGGGGGGTAGGAGCTGGCTGAATACTTACACCTATGGTGTCGAGGGGCTCTTTCTTCATGTTTTTGTTCGGTAATAAATAAGGTTAGTTGTGTGGGTGTCACTCAGGCGCGGATATACGGGGGGCGATGGACCCGCCCCCCCCCCTCTTTGAAAAAATAAGAAAGGAAAAGAAAGAAAAAGAAAGGAAAGGAACAAGTAAAGAAAGAAGGGCTAAAAACACGAGTTAGAAGTAGACCCATCAGGGCACTCACTTATCCGTATCAGGGGGAAAAATAAACGGGGGCTCGGGGTGAATTAGCCCCCGAAATGCCAAAAAGATCCCCCGAAAGTCATAAAAGTAACCCCCGAAATGTTTAAAGTATTTTTTCTCTGATCCGTATATAGGAAAAGGCCCTGGGGCAGCTAGCCATACTTCGATATTTGGGTCTTTTTTCCGATCAGAACTAGCCCTAACTATCATTCCAGGATTTTTTGTTTCAGAACCTAAAACAAAGTTACCCAATCCCTTTAAGTTTAAAAAATAGACTTCATTGAACTTTAATTAGGCTTAGGAACCGGGGGAGGGGGATTGGGGGCACAGCCCCCCCCCCCAAAAAAAAAA